TTTCTAGCTCAAAATCTTCTTGTTCCAAAAATTGCTTTGTGTTATTGTTACCATTAGAAATTTGAGTACATTGATTTTTATTTTTTGTGCTATAAAAATCATTTACATTACTTACGACAAATTCTGTTGTACTTATAGATCCATGATATGGCGAGGTATATATGCTTGTAAAAAAGTAGAAGAATTTGAACATCTTATGGGATATATTTAAAATAATATATTTTTTTAATGTTTGCCAAGAACTAAATATTAATTTTAAAAAAATTGTATCTTTTTTTAAATGTTATATTAGATTTAAAGTTAAAAATTCATTAAAAAAATTATATTATAATAACCACTATATTTAATTATTTAAGAATTATTTAATTAAATGGGTGTTGTATAATAATAAGATAATTTCTAAATAAGGCATGTGTACAAAATTGTCTAAAAAAATTATGCAATTTTTTCTTTAAAAAATATATACTTTACATATAAAATATGTATTCATGAAAATCAACAATTACGTTTATTATTGCATAGAGCTTATGTTTTTATCATAAGATTTACAATAATTTATAAAATTAAAATCTATTGTTTTTATAATAAATTTTCCTTAATTTTTGGAGATGAACAAGAAAGAGGAGAATCAGTACTCTGAAAATAAAAATAATCCTAAAATATTACATCTGTATCTATGCAAAGCTGAGCAAGAATATCATTTTTTTAAAATTACATATAGAAAAATTGATGTTTCAAAAATCAATCAATCATGAAATTAACATTTACCATAAAATAAATAGTCATAAAAGGTGTAGCAAAAATGGAATTATATGTTTTTTGTAAAATGATTTTTAAGAACCACGACAAAGCTTTTATTACATTTAGACATTATTTAAAGTTTATTTTGCACACAAATAAATAAAACAATGCATTAAAAAATAATTTTTATTTATTTTCTTTTATTTCAATTGTCTCATAAACGTGTAATATCTTAATAAATTCCTTCTTAAGCTTTTTCTTTAAGCATTTTAAAATTCTAACTTGCACATCTGTAAGTGCTTCATTCTTTCTACAAACAACATAGTCATCTTCAAGAATAGAAATGTTTTTCTCATTGATAGTAGGTATAAGCTCTGCCAATTCTTTATTTTTAACTTCTCCCTTGCAAATAATAACATTTTCTGGTGAAACATCATTTACTTCTAAAAATGTCTCATACTGATATTTTTTTAATTTTTCAATTCCTTCTAAATCTGTAAAAACAAGAAAAAAATTTTTAGCATTTACAATATTATATTTTTTACTAAGCATTTTCTTTTTAACAAACATAATATCAGAATTTTCAAGTTCTTCTCTCATCTTATTAAGTAATGCAGAACCAAGGTCAGTATTTTCAACAAGAATTAAATATTTATGTTTATCTAAGAAAGATGGTATTTTATCTAGAAATTTCATCTTTGTCTCTTTTTGCATTTTCTGAATTTTTCCACGCATGGATAGAAAAAATAAAAAAATTAAACAATTATTTAAAGCAGATCACTAACACAAAAATATAATCAAAAAAATTATAATCATATTATGGGTTTTTCTTTTGTCCAATAAAAAATATATATATTTAACATTTTATATAAAATGCTCCAATACAGTTTAACTCTTTTACCAATAAATATAAAATTTAGATTTGCAATAATTTTTTTTGCGTTTATTTACAGAATTCACATAGAAGATCTATAATTTTATAGTTTCTTGTTTATTTATTTTTTTCTATTTTAAGGAATCTAATAAGGCTACAACAATTTAATTTACTAAATTTATTGCAACATTTTAAAAAAAATGCAGAAATTGAATAGACATGTAATTAAAAAATAAAAAATAATTCTTTTTTATTATAAATATTCATTTTTTTATTAATTAAAACAGTTATGAAATTAATGAAATCAACATTAAGGCACAAATGATTTCAACATATTAAATTTATAAATATCAAAATATAAATAAACTCTTAACAGGTGATAAAACATGTTATACTTTCTGATATACATTAAAAATCTTAATACAAAAATTTTTATGTTTTGATCTAATAAAAATTGTTTTAATCGATTTTTATAAAAATTTAATTATCTTTCAAATTAAAAACAGTCTTTAATTTACATTTTTTATATCCAATCATGTTTTTTTTATATTATTTAAGAAAATTGTAGGCGGAACCAATTATTTTATTTTTAAAACTATTTAAAAAAAATTGATGACATCCTTATGGAAGAAGCTGATAGTAATGAATATTCAATTTTTATAGATAACATATGTATTGATAATCTTCTTAAAAGAATGAAAAAGAATCTTGAGAAGATGGAAGGCGAGTGTGACAAAAAAGAACTGTCACAGTTTTACGAAATTTATGAAAGGTATTTAAAAACGCGAGGCGAAACACTAAAATGGGATGATATCAAGCATCCTAAAGATCGAATTATTCAATATGACGATATTGTTGAGCAAAACGTAGATCCAAAAAATCTTCTTGGAAAATTAGCAGTTTTAAAACTTAATGGTGGTCTAGGTACTACAATGGGGTGTATTGGACCTAAAAGTGCTATACCAGTCAAAAGTGGTAAAAATTTCATTGATTTGGTTGTTAAACAACTAAAATTTTTGAGGCGAAAATACAATGTTGAGGTGCCGCTAGTGCTTATGAACTCATTTAATACTGAAAGTATGACTGAAACACTAATATCCAGACATGACAATATTTTAACCTTTAACCAGTCAAAATATCCTAGGATTAGTTCAGACACCTTATTACCTCCTAATAACTTAAAAAAGGAGGAGATGTTTTATCCACCTGGCCACGGTGATATATTTAACTCATTAGATGCTAGTGGAATGTTAGATAAATTACTTGGTGAAGGCAAAGAATATCTTTTTATATCAAATATAGATAATTTGGCTGCTACTGTTGATCTTAATCTCCTAGAATATTTTGCATCGCAACAATTGGAATTTATGATGGAAGTTACATCAAAAACAAGAGCAGACATTAAAGGGGGAACTTTAATAGAATATGGAGGTGCATTAAGACTGTTAGAAATTGCACAGGTCCCATTGTCTAAAAAATCGGAGTTCACAAGTGTAAGAAAATTTAAGATATTTAATACAAATTCTGCTTGGATAAATCTTAAACCCTTAAAGGAAAAATTAAAAACCGAAACATTTCCGCTTGACATTATTGAAAATAAAAAAACAGCAGGGAGAGAAACTGTTTTTCAATTGGAAACAGCAATTGGTTCGGCAATAAGATTTTTTAAAAAATCGTGCGGTGTAGTAGTTCCAAGATCAAGATTTTTACCTGTAAAATCGTGTTCTGATTTATTTTTAGTAGAAAGTAATCTATTTGTCGAACGAAACGGACAACTCATTTTAAATCCACAGCGCGTACCAATGTGTGTGCCAACCATAAAGCTTATTGGCGAAAATTTCAAAAAAATAGATCGTTATGAAGATTCTTTTAAGGGGATACCTGATTTATTAGAGCTTGATAGTCTTACAGTATCGGGAAATGTTAAATTTGGTAAAAATGTTGTATTAAAAGGTACTGTGATTATTTTAGCAGATAAAAATAGTGTTATAAATATTCCTGACGGAAGTGTTTTAGATGATAACATAGTATATGGAAACCTTCCTATTATAGAACATTAAATGTTTAAATTAAACATTTTTTAAAATTTTTCTTATGTTTTTCTAATTTAAATGTAAATTAAAATGATCTTTAAATTAAAAAACGTAAATTTTTATTACAAACAAACAAAATACAGTAAACACAATAATCCTATATCACGTGATCTACATCCGTTTTTTCGACATGCTTTTATTTCATCATCCTCAGTTATAATTCCACATTCTTTAATTATTTTTTCGTATAAATTCTCCAGTTCTTGATCATTTTCAGGTTGCTTCCTAAGGATGTCTCTGACATAAAGTTTATTGTAAGTTGAATAAGGCACTAATATTTCTTTAATTTCATCGTCATTTTGTAGAGTAAATACTCTAATTTTATAAGGAGATGAACAGCGTAATACTTCAAATTTTGTCACTGTTACTGTTTTCGTTTTATTTTCCTGCTCTTTTATTTCATCGTTCACTTTTATTAGTGAAGTGCTTTTCCCTAAATACACACATGCAGGCACGATTTTATATCCTTTTTGGTTCATTGCATTCGCTACATATTGTAAAATGTCAATACTTTTTTCGTATCGTTCCCTAAAAACAATTGATACACCTTTTCTGTTTTCAGCTGCTAGTGCCTGACATAAAAATGGATATATATTTGATTTTTGGTCATCTTCACTGTCTATATTCGGTATATCAATAAGATATCCTAAACTTTCAGGAATATTAATTGTTTTATGCGTAATGCACCCAACAGCAGGAAGTCTTAAAAGAACAGCTTTATGTCCCGTTCTTTTTATAAACTCCTTTTCATACTTTTCTAAGACCATAGTTATTGTTTCATCTGTTACTTCCTCTATTATAGACATACCGACTTCATAACCATTTTCAATAATTTCTTCTACTACTTGTTTATCAAAAAGAGGATTGAATGGATCGAGATAAAATACTAAAGGAATATTAAGAGAGACACCTTTTTCAATGACACGATTAATATTTTTAGTAGGGCCTTCGTCATAAGAAATCATGCACTTGTAAGACATAATTTGACTGAAATATAAACAAAATATCATGGATTTACGATATTTTTTTTTAAATATTTAAATTGAAAAAATCTTAATTAATTAAAAAAAATCATAAAGAATTTATTTAATGTATTTGTTATATTAATTTATTATATTTGGTATTACTTTTAAACATTTTTTAAAATTATCTTTATCTACATAAATTAAATTAATTTGCGTATGTGAGATATGAAGTCTTGTTATTAACAAGTAAATTCAATTTTAAAACCAAATTATTATAAATTCTTTATAATTAAAATAAGCCTATCTAGTAAATAAATTAGACATATTAATAGTTTTTTGTTACTTTTTATCTTCTTTTCTATACAAAAAAATTTAAAGAAGCCTTTTTGATATAAATTAAAATATTTTATAAAAAATCAATATTTCAAAAAGTGCTTTCAGTCATTAAAATTTTACACAATGACAAAAAAAGTTAAATTATTAAAATGTCTCATTTATTTATTTTTTAATTATTAGTAAAAATTGCTCGTGTATATTTAATTTTTAAATTAATGTAAAACAAAGATCTTTAATTTATAAAATAAATGGCAAATTTATTTAAAATTCATCATAACCATGCAAATTCTTCCACACCAATTTTAGACATATTTTCTAGATCAGTAAATTCATTAATTAATTTAATAATATTATCCGGATTCTGTAAATTTTGGATTCTTTCTTTTACTTTTTTTATAACAACTTCGTCATTTTTAAATACTTTAAATGCATCTTCAATAAACTCTTCCATATCTTTTGCAGAATGATAAAAAATAGACAAAAAAGGACCTTCTATTCCTTCCTTTCCAAATAAGCATTGCATATTAGGAGAAATATAATTTTTAAAATTACTATTCTCATTCATAAAATCAACATTAAATATCTTTTTTTTAAAATATGTTCCTTTATCGATATAAATCATTAAATTATCTGGTTTTAAATGTATTGTATACAAAATATAAGAAATTGCAAAATGAATAGAATAAGTAGAAAGCATATTATTCTTAAATAGTAGATATTTATAAGGACTTTCAAAATTAGATTTAAAATAGTTTGTCAAAATATCCTCTTTCATGTTATTTTTTAAAATATTTATAAAAGTCCTTAGTTTATCTTTAGAAGATAATTTAGGTACAAAATCACAAATCTTATAAGTGTTATTTTGTATTTTAAAATATTCTCTAGAATTATTCAAAAACTTTTCTAATTCAACATTATTTATATTTGGATTTAATACATCAATAATTTCTTCTTTATCAATATTAAGTATTATACTATTAGCAGTATACTTATATTTATCTTTTAAATTAATATCTACCTCTTCTGTTTTATCTTTAATATCAATATCCACTTCTCCTGTTTTATTTATATTAGTATCTAATTCTTCTGTTTTAAATGTATGTTCATGTTTGTAAATTTCTATTTCTGACATGTAATCACAAAAAGCATGTGGTAGATTGTTACTCATTCTATATTCATCATAAATAAAATCAAAATCAATATAAGTATATTCTACTAAATTAACAAAAATATCATTTTTTAACTGTGAATCTTTAAACAGTGATAACTCTACATTTCTAATTTTTAATTCATGCTTTTCACTAAGTCTCTTTTTTATTAAATTGTATAAAAAACTCATATTTGTTTTTTTTTGTCTAATTTTATAATATTCATATTTATACATTTTACCATCTGAACCTATAAAGCATATATCTTCTATCTTATCATTTTTGAAACTACACTTTCCTAAGGTAGACATAACAACCTCTACAGAAACAATATTTTTATAATCATTTCTTATTTCATTATAAGATCCTAATATATAATTTTTAATATTTTTAAATTGAATAAGTTCATTCTGTAAAATTCCATATTCTATATTTGAAAATATTTCTGATTCTAACAATAATAAATACATCTTCTGCTTGATTAATAATAAAATATCTAGAATTTTATAGGGACAAAGAATTATATCATCTTTATAAGAATCTAATGCATATAAAAATGGCTTAATATTATGCTTTTGTTCTGTAATTACTGGTGATGAAAATAATAAATTAAGTTTTTTTCTTAACTCAACAGGTGAAAAGGAAAATGAAATAATATCTGCGATGAGATCTTCAATATTTCGCAAAAAAACGTATTCACTTTTTGATGCAACAGAATCAAAAATATTATTTAACCTTAACAAAGTAGATATCATATCATCAATTTTTGATATACTACTTAATTCATTAAGCAGTTTCTGTCCTCTGTTGTAAATTGTTTTATCAGAATCTTTACTATATTTTTCTAAAAAAATATATAATGGCCGAAATAGAGGATGTAGATAAACCTTACAAATTTTTTTTATAATTGGATCAACTAAAAAATAATTATTTGTAGCTAAAAGATCAATAATCTTAGATATAAAAAACACAAAAGAATTCACATTGCAATTTTCTATAAGATTTTTATAGACTTCCATATCTATATTAATATCTTTTGTACCTACGTAATAAATAAAACATAACATTAAATTATAAGATTTTTCCTGATCAGAACAGGAAAGCCCCATTAAAATGGAGAATATTATTTCTTCATCTAAAAATTTTGGAGGTGAACTAGAATCATTATTAAAATTACCTAATTTTATATAAGGTTTTTTTAACAATAATTTAACATAACAATAATAATTAACTCCAATATTACTTAAATGTATTGCTTTAAAATATAACTTCTCTGCATCTTCATACAATCCCAATTTCTCACTAAACATTCCTCTTATTCTAAACAAATTACTACTTTGATCATCTAAAAAATGACTTATATTTGTTGTATTTGCCATATCATATCCTATTTTATATTCTTTCATTTCATAAAAACATAATAATTCATTAACTACTTTATGATATGCATCTATAACTTTAATACTAGGAAGATCAAATACACTTTTAAAACTAAAAAGTGCATTATCATAAAATCTGTTTCTAAAAGATGCAAACCCTAAATAGTTACTATATTTTCCCAATCCATTATTTCCCTTAAAGTACATTTCCTTTTTCAATTGTTTAATAGATTCTGTATATTCTTTATTTTTATTAACAATTCCACAAATATCAACATCCTTAATACTTAAGTCATTAAATTTAAGTTCATTGCTAAAATCTTCAATTTTACGATATGCATGTTTCCTCCAGGCACTAAATCGAAGTAAATTAATAAAATCATTTTCAAAATCCAAGTCACGTTCTTCCCATCTGTAAAGTATTGAATTAATTTTTTCAGTACTCTCTAATGTATTATTAAAAATAAAAGATACATCATGCATTTCAAAAATAATTTGTAAAAAAACTAAATAAAAGTTATCATACCATATAACATTAGGACCAAATACAATCTTCTTATTAATTTCCTTAATTAATGCAATTGCCTTATCTACATCAAATTTATTATACAACACAACAAATAGTTCATAAAACAACCAGTCAATATCAAGCACTTTCTCCTTTTTATGCTGAATAATTAATTGAATAAATGCTTCTCTTTCTGTTTGTAGGTTGAAATTTTTCAAATAAAATATCGAATCTGCTATTAATAAATTGTCTTTTTTTTCTTTCCCAATATGCTGTGTAAGATCCCACTGTTGTAATTCCTTTGCACATTCAATCCACCCATCTAAAATTAAATCAAACTCATCTTCAAAAAATGATATTTTACTTTCAATTGCTTTAGTCTGTATTTTTTCATATTCTTGTTGGGCTTCTTTAATATTTCCAAGCTGATGTAAAATTGTTGCCCCGGATGTTTCAGGTAATTTTGAATAAATTCTAATAGATCCATAATAATAATCTTTCCATTTCATATCAAAATAACTTTTTATAGTGTGATGATTTGCTAAATAACTCCAACAATCAGGACCATTTCTTAGAAATTTACGCACTTTTTCAAAGTTCTCACTACTGTCTAAATACTTATTCTTATCTAAAAGTTTTAAAAATATTAATGATATCTTTTCACTAAACTTAAGGGAAGATACTAAATTAAATATCTTCATTGCAATATCATCTAGATTTGTTAAAATATTAAGTTCCATAATTATAGACTCCATTAAATTGATACTAGCATCATAAGAATAATAATTAAAAGACATTAAATGTTCTTTAAATTCAGATGGTGCATATTTCCTTATAAAATCTTGAAAATTGTCAATAATCTCTTTTATATACCTTTCAAATACACCTTCGTGAAAGTCAAATTGCACTTGTTTATCTGCGCTATTATAAAAAAATGCAGCCTTACAAATCCCCAAATCAAAAAGTCTAAATGAAGTAATTCCAACATCATTTAAACAATATAATAACATCCTATTAAAAATATACGGAATATAAGATTCATCAACCAATGTCCAGTCCAAATTTAAAAGTTCAATAAAGCGAGTGTTTACATTTTTTATCATCATTTTATTAAATTCCTGAAAATACATTCGTCTTAAATCTTCGTCTTCATTAACAAGCCCCGCAAAAAATATTTCGGTAAGACTGCTTAAATTCTGTGATTTTGAATTGTTATTAGAATTAAAAAAGTTCAATGCACAACGCAATAAATCTTTCTTTGAAATAAGAAAAATTCCATCTTTTTGTTTGTTGAAAATTATAGAAAAAAACGTAATAATATCATTATAAGACACTTCCGAATGAAGTATAGTTAGTATAGATTCAGATAAATTTAGATCATTATTTCTATACATTTCTAATAATTTAAATAGAAAAGGCAAATTATCTTGTACAGTAATCTTTTTGAGAACCAATTCTAAAATTTTATTAAACATGTAATCCGACTTTTTGTCTGCGATATTTCGATTGAATAGTGCTGATCTATTGTCCTTAGAAGTTAAACTTGGCGTTAAAGGCTGCTTAACTAATTCATCTTTAAATGCTTTAAATATTAATTCTTCATATTCATTCAAACTTTGTTTAGAATCTAATAAATACTCAATAAAACTCATAACAGTTTGTTTTAAATATATTTTGTTTTCATCTAATTTATAATCATCAAGAAGTTCAAACATTTTTCTAGTCAGTATTAAATTTGGCAAGTCATCTTTTTTTGCAATGAAGCAAATATCTACAAAATTGCGTAAATATTTCCGATTTTTATTTGAATTACTATGTTCCTTAGTGATTTCACTATCTAAAAACAAAAATAATTTTTTACTATCTGCATTCGCTAAATTTAAGATTGAAAAATTAATAGTAAAATCATATTCTCCTATTACATCAGACAAAAATTTCCTAACTAAAGACTTTGTTTTAGCACAATCTAAATAAACTATAAATATAAATGTATAACAATCTACTAATGTCTCATTTTCGAAAATATTATAAGAATTTTTTATATAAAAATCGCAAATCGTTTTAAATAAACTTGCACCAAGTGTGTAGTAAAATTTGGTATTTGTATGAAAAAATCTGCGCATCACAAGCAACAACTCTTGACATATTTTTAAGGTCAATAATTCTGGCTTTTGAACTAATAAAGGATATAATATAAACACATTTGCAAGATAATTTGAATCCTTTTTAAGATAATCTAATATTTCTTTTTCAAATTGGTTAAATTTTTCTACAATTTTTATTAACGACTGCAAGGTGTACTTTCTTTCTTCAAATGAAAGATTTAAAAGCAAATCAAAATATTTAGGCAAAGGCTCATAAGTTGATAAATAAAACAAAATATAAGATCTTATGTTTAGATTAGAAATATTATTTTTACAATATTCTATCATGCTGGGACTATTAACACCTTCTTGAACAAATAATTCTATTAACATCCATGAATGTTCTCCAAAATAATCTATTAATTTATCATAATTTTCAACTTCGCTTCTAGAAATACTCTTAAGTAAACAAGCCATTATAGATTTATTTTTTAAATGTGTAAAAGTCTTAACTTTTATTGAGTTGTAAATTCTAAACATAGGATCAATCTTAAAAAGAACTTCAAAATCATCAGCACTAAAATAATTTATAGAATAATAAAAATATTCTGTAAGATCGCTTGATGTTTTATTCTTTTTTTTAAGTTCTGCATGAATCAAAAGAGCTAATTGAATTTGACTTTCAGTTACAGAATATTTAATTAGCCTTAAAAAATTTAGTAAATTAATTCCCTTAAATAAATCATCATTATTCTTAAAATCCAATGTCTTTATAATTGTATATATTTCGTCTTCTTCTATTGAATTACAATTTGTAAGTCCTAATCTTTTACTTGACACTCCTAAATTACATACAAAATTTTTAAATGAATGTGACCTACAAAATAATTTTTTTGCTAACTCCAAAATTGACAAATTAGTAATATTTAAAATTATAAAAGGATATGTATAATTAAAGTATTTTTCAAGATAATTTAACATGCGATCCTCAATTTTAGCTACATATGATTTAGAAAAATCATACAATAGAGTATAAATCATTAAAATAATTTTATCATACAATAGTTCTTGATGTGGATACATAAGACTTAGCTCAAAAGTTTTGACCAAAATTGAATTATTTTCAGAATCTGCAATTAACGAAAGTTCAATATGATTTCTAAATTCTAAAAAAATCTTCTGAATAAATGCAACCAGTCTCTCATCAGTAAAATTATTTAATAATAAAAATATACAAATCATTTTTTTTATGGTGTTAACAGTCAATAACTCAGATATGCATTCTTCATATTTTATTTTTAGTATATCTTCTATCAAATTAAAATTTATTTTTTCAAATCTCTTAAAAGGGAAAATGTATCCACTTGGTAGCGTGTAGAAAATGACATCGAATGCCAATTTCGCATTATTTTTATTTGAACAGTAAGCTAAATATAAAAAAAGGATCTCGTATTTAAGATATCGATTGTAATTCTTATTTCTTTCATTCTGGTAATAAATTTCAAAAATAAAATCTGGACTGTTTAAAATAGTAGCTTGTGATCTAAGAACTTTATCGGCATAAATTTTTTTCACATCCGTTTCGAAGAAGGGATTTGGTGGAATCACTAAAAAACCCAATTTTTTTAGATAATAAAAGTAAAATTTTACAAATGCCTTAATTTCTGTTTTACTTAAAAATCTCGGGAATATTTTTATAATAAAAATAAATACATCGATTCTTATAAACAAACTTTGGCTGTCATTTCTTATTGAATTATCTTTTAAAAATGAGACAACAGTTTCATAGTGAGTTGCAAATACGTTTTTATAATCAAATTTTCTTTTAAACAAAGCTAAGCACTTTTTTGAAAATCCTCTTTCATGATAATTTTTACTCAACAAACAATTAATAAATGCCGTAGAAAGTATCTTTGCACAGTTATCAATATCCATTAAAACAAGTATATCCCATAAAAAACTTATAGTAGCCACAATATTTTCAAAAATCCCATCACTATGTTGAATGTATAATAAAATATTACTAATTATAGAAAATAGTTCTTTTTGAATCCAAAAAAATGGCAATTCATCCCAAACCAAAAGTCCACAAATTCCATAACATCCTGCTTTAATTTTTCTTACATTAGAAGAATTACATAAATTGCTTAACTGTTTGTAAAAAAATTGCAAAATTCCCAATTTTAAAAAATTTTCGATTGATCCTGCCATTTTTATACTTCTAGTTAGAATATCATGCAGCATAATTGTAGGCATATTATTTTCTGAAAATTCAAATCCTTCAAGATAAGCTTTACATAATGTTAAATGATTAAAATAGATTCTTAGCTGATCTGTTGCAAATTTAAGTCTTCTACTTACCCAATAATTTATAACAACCTCAGAAATACATTTTAGTAATGTCAAAGCTTTTGTTTCAACAATAGTATTTTCACAAGCATATAAAGCTTGTATTGCATCATAGATATATTGAGATTTTTTAAGTTGATGAAAATAAGAAGAATTATTAATATCGGATAAAAAAAGATCGTCATTAGTTTCCGGCAAATCTTCTAAAATAAATTTAGATGTTTTATGCAATTCTCCCCACCAAGTCAACATTCGATCACTAATTTTATGTTTTGCAAAATCTGCAAATCCTAAAATAGAATATAAAATTCCTGCAAGAAGTTCAAAAGCTGCTTCTGTTTGCCTATCATTATTTAATTCTTTTCCTTTAAAAAGTTTAAAAGAGACCAAGTGATTATTATTAAGAATCCTTGTACTACCTGAATACGTGTAATCTCCTCTAAAATATGATAATATACGAATATATAAATCATTTACAGATAAAAGCAAACTGCCGGTATCAAAATTCGTTTTGTCGGTATCATATCGCAAATAACTATTGCTCATTGTTTTAGCATACATTTGATTTTTAAGAAAAGACCTGTCTTCAAATAATATATCATTATATAAATACACTTTGTGAAAACTCTTAAGCCTTCCAAATATTTGTGCTGCATGTGTACCAAACTTAGGATTTGTCAACGCCAGCCTTATCTCTTTAAACATTTCAATAAACATAGAATTATTCTTATTCTTAAAAAAATCCTGTTTTGAGTTATCGATAAGATAATGCAAATAACCCAGTGCCTTAATACCAATATTATTATTACTTTTCAAACAATCAATTATAGGTTGAATAAGTACTTCCCAATCATCAATTATAATATTTAACTGAATAGGTATTGAAAAGACTAAATTCAAATATAAAACATTTTTGTGCTTTTGATATAAAAAATTAAATCTTTCGGCGTAATTCTTAAAATTTTTAAAAAAGTGCATTTGGAGATTATTTTCATATTCTTTGATATTATTGAAACTTTCAAAACACAACAATAATATTTCGTGCAACCCAGTTTCGTCTGACTTGACTAAAATATCAAGACATTCCATTAAAGAAGAAAATTCATTATGACTTACACCAAATGGATTAATACAAAATCTATTCATAATTATTGTAAAGTATAAGTTATAATAATTACAATTGTTATTTAGTCTTTTGCTTCGCATTTCTAATAACTTTTCATCGTCTGTAGTTAAAAAATTACGATAATTTTTCCAATTAACATCTATAAAGTCACAAGTCAATAGATCTTTAAGAAGTTCAATATATTTACGAAATCCAAAATATTGATTAATTGTTTCAGAACACATTTTTTTTACAATCTCAAAAAAGCAAATTCTTTCACAAGCATACAGAACAATCTGCCTCGAAAAATTATTGTTAAGATCATTAAGTAAATATTCCACTGGAATAAAAAACACTGAAAAAAAGTCATCAATCAAATACAGTTCGTCATCTTCTATTTCCAAATCTAAAATTAATTTTAATGCTGCACCAAATAACCAAAAAAAATCTTCGCGTTTAAAAACTGAAAGAACGAGTGATTCTAAATTTAATCTAAAAAATTCGGTCATTTTACTTGTTAAATCTCTAAAAAATATTCCTGAAATAATAAAAATTTCTTTACAAAGACTGTTATAATTATTGTCTCTTTTAACTTTTTCAATAAGATTAATCACTTTTATTACAGATACAAATGCTCTATAAAACAAATCAACTTGTTCAAATCGCTGAATTCTTGAATTAAAAACACAAAACATTTGCTTATTTATACAATTTAAAACTTCTTTAACAATTTCCAAATGAAATCTTATGCAAATATTAGATTCTGCATCTTTATTTAAAAATAAAAAATTAACATCAACATTATTTAACAGATTACTATCTGCAAGAATATTTTTGTTTGTTTCCAAATACAATTTTATCGATGATATACTTGTATACAAAATTTCTTCTGTTCTGTAAAATAAGTCATAGAAAGTTCTAGCAAAAAAATTATCATTAAATGCAAGTAATGTATCTGTTAGCCCTATAAGGCCTTTAATATTAACATTATGTGTTTCAGGACTATAAAAAAATCTTAAATCAAAAAACTCTTGGATTTTAGAAATAAATACTTCTCTAGACTTTAGAATAATTTTAAAAAAACTACGTAAAAGTTCTAACTTTAATCCTTCGGCATCAATTGGACAATAAAAGGCAGCAAATTTTACAAGTTCCAGTATCAAAATACTAAAATTTTCATTTTTTGAAATAAAAATTATTGTATTAGCAATAAGCTTAATTAATTTTGTAATAGAAGAAATTAAAAGTATTGTTATATCCTTATTAAAACCAATTAACTCCATTACATTTCTTTTGTCTAGATACGAAATATAGAAATTTACACATCTAAAGATAATTATGTCAATTCTGTTACTTGCACTAGAATAGTTATTATTTAATTCGAATAAATAAATAAAAAGCTCCGTTAGACACCTTAAACAATTACTAATAATATCAATATCAAATGTTTCTAATCTATTAAATAAGCTATTTACTAGATACAATATAATGCTTAAGTGATTTTCTAATACCTGCTCATTAAAATTTATACATCGAATATTTGAACCAAAAAATCTGATAATTAAAATTATATTTGAAATATTATCTTTTTCTAAAGCAATATTTAAAAGTTCAATTATTTCATCTAGAATAACATTATCTAGTTGTATACGATTTAGAATTTTAAGCACCAATGTACGACAATTATTTAAATCAGAATTATCGTCTTCTAATATAGAAGTGTAAGATTTCAAAACTCTTATACAAAAGGGTAACAAATCATTAATAAAGTTTTCAGGCTTAAGTAAAATATCTAAAAAATCTCCGTTTTCTAATTTATCTAAAATTTTTATACATTTGTCTTCACAAGAATCATTACTTAAAATTATTTCTTTTAACATTTTAAGGGATAAAATATTATGCTTAAATAATTTAAAAAAATATTTTGTTTAAAAATGCTAACAAATTTAAAATTAACATAAAATTATAGTAAAAAGAAGATAAATAAACTATATACAGTACTAAACAACACAATATCAAAATTCGTACACTACAATATAGTTTTAAACAGGCAAATTAAGGCTTATGTAAACAATTTTTTTAAATAGCCCTGATAATTAATGCGGATTAAGAAAATAATGAGCATATACAAATAAATTACTTAAGTAATTATTTAAACAGTAAAAAGACTTCAAACAATATTGAATGTTCAGAAAAACATTTACTCTTAGACTTGTGATCTACAATAAATTAATTTGCATTTATAACAACAACTTAAATTTTTACATTAGAAATCTTTCCTAGTATTAAAACTTTTCATAAATTTTTATTTTCTTTAAGAAGGTTTTTAGCCCATGGAACAACATTTTATTTTAAGATTAAAAGATGGACTAAAAAAAGTGATTAATCTTACTGAGTCTACTTTAGAAAGTATAGATTCAGAAAGGGTACAATTAGTTCATAATAACAAAAAATATCCCGGGATTATTATTAGATTACCGTGTATTATTGACACACATAAAACTCTTGATAAAAAGCAGTATTATAAAGTATGTGATGTTTCTACACTAATTGTTATTTATCCTAATTATGATTATGACTTTGAACGAGAAAGGCGTATTCTTGAAATTAGTGGATTATCAGCGCCCTTAAAATATGTAAAAATGAGAAGATTTAAAAAAAATGTTACTGGCAAAATACACTTAATTAATGAAATCGAACAAAAAGTTAATGAATTATTGGAAAAAGATAAAAGAGCTAAAAAAGTAGAAATAGAAGGAGATGTGCAAGAAAAAGTAGATGATGATATTTTAGATATTGTAGCAGAAATAGAAAGTAACTTAGAACCATCGAAAATTAACATTAAAAATTTAGAAACAGCAAATGTGCATTTTGATACACCAGAAATAATCGAGTTAAAGAAAGAAATAGAACAACAGGAAAACTTAGTTAAAAATGCATTAAATCCAATTTTACAGCAGAGGTTTAAAGTTAAGCTTGAAGCATTACAAAAAAAACTTGAAGATTTATGTAATGAGAATTGAGACTGTTTATAAAATCAAAGTTTTTGTTATATTTTATTGTTTTATTACACCCAATTATGTTAAGCACTAATAGTTTTTAAAATTTATGTTTTTTTATAAAAAATGCAAAATTATGATATATTGAAATTTTGTATAAACAATATAATTAATGCAGCATCGAGAATATTTTTTTTCCGATTTGACATTTAATATACTTTAAAAATCTTTACTTTTGTTCTTAAAAATTTTTGTTATCTACATAATATTTATATTGTAAACATTGTTAATGCAAAAGAGGTGATGCATTTTTTTTCGAATTTACAATCTTAGAAAGATTCAAAACCTTTACAATTAATATTAAGAATGCTTTTATTTTATCAATTAAATCAAAATATACTAACTTTGTCTAGAAACGGATTTTAAAAATATTGTATTAATTTGAAATTTTTATTGTGTCATTATAAAACATTGTAAAGTTTACAACCCTTTTGTTTCCTTGGTGTTATTGCTTAAAACAGTTTAGTTCTTTTCATTAATTAGAATTTTCATAACTCAAATCTTACACAAAAAATAATCAGCAAGTATAACTATTTGAATATACTTAATTGTAAAATAATTAGCTTATTATATAAAAATCCATAAATTATTTTTCTTATATAATTTAATATGCAAAATTAATTTAATAAATATTACTTAGTAATATTACATTACCTACAAACTGGTAGAATTAATTTTATTCTTTACTACGTATCTTTTGTTATAAATAAAAAAAGATTATAATTTTACAAATATTAGTTGAAATATTTATAAAAAGCAATTTGATAATATATATTCTTCAATACCTTGTTGATTCATAAGCGTAACACTGATGTGTGTTGTTTTCATTTATTGACGTTTTTTGTTTACTGTAAAAAATAAATGTAGTATAAAATATATTCAAAACCTTGTAATTTAAAATTTTTATAGTTACTAAATAAAAATTAACTTTTTTTCTCTATTGTAATTTATTATAATTCTTTAAATATTTTTTGTGTTGCAAAATTTGAAAAATCGGCAAACAAGTCATCGAGATCATTAAAAATTTCTGTACATGTAAAATCTGTAAAAATGCTCATTTGCTCATAATTAAATTCACATTTTTGTTTCTTATTTTCTTCTATTACATTTGTTAAGTCATAATCACATTTATCTACCTTTATTTCACAAAAGGTCTTAGGTTTACAGTTTTTTAGAAAAAATTGAAAATCTTCATCTTTTTCAATAGCGTCATTTACAAAATTAGTTTTTAGTCTTGGTTCAGAACCAAGTTCATAAATATTATTACGTGTTACACCCGTAAAAAGATGGTCATTTGGAAGTATTTTTAAACAATGCAATAACGATTTATTACTCCCCTGATCATTTAAATGTCCTTTTAAATTATTTTGTAAGTTCAAAAATACAAGCATTTCTTTTTCTAAAAAAGAGTCTTCCCCTAAAAAAGTTTTTAGTAAAAATTCTGTGACCCCTTCGAAATAAGCATCCGATCCTACTGATTTATTAATTTGTAGTGAAATTTTTATTATGTAATATTTTAATAAATCGGACAATATATTAAGACTCTGTTCCGATATTCTCTCAAATCCTATTTGTAAACATACCTCGGATATGCATAGCTTTAAAATTTTTATGTTTAGATTTGACTTCATAAACTTTCGCAAAAGGGATAAAAAATAAAAAATGAGGAAAAAATAAGAAATTTAAAAACACTTTATTTAGAAAAGTTTGCACATCTTAAACTTCAATTTTCTACAACCAGCAAAGTTAAAATAAGGGGTTCACAATTTTATTTGTTTATATACCAATTAATTTAATTAAAATCAAAAGGCTAAAAGTTGTAATTTTGTATTTTGTTTTTAAACTTGTTTGTTTGTTTTTTAAATAAATTTTAAAATATTTTATTATTTTTTGAAAAATTAATTAATGATTTGAAGAAAATATAGCTTTTAAAATAAAACCATTATAATTATGATATTTACTTTTTATAAGTAAATAGAAAACTTATTAAAACTGTTATATTTTATAAATAAATGTAAAACCAATATTTTATTTTGAGGTTAATATCTGTTTTATAGTTTACAAAAATACTGCAGATAAGTTTAATTAGAAAGTAAAGATAAACATTAAATATTTATCATAGCTTTGTTTTGTGATTAGGATTAAAATATTTATAAAGATTTTTGTATATTTTACATGTTATATATTATTGTAGATCATAAACCGGCTCTTGCATATATTATAGTTATATTTCAAACTTTATTTGCAAAATATTGTTTAAATATCTTTATTGTTTACACTTTACATGAATTTAAAAATATTATACAGTTTTTAGCAATCTTAACTTTTCGTAATTTTTAACAATCTTAACTTTTATTTTTGCATTAAACAGATGCTTTATCATGATTGTAATTTATTGCAACTTTTCTCCTTTTTTTATCACGTAAAGCATCAATAGATATTTAAAAAATCTTCAATAAATGATAATTTTAATAAATATTCTTTTTTAAACAGTTAATATTTTTTACCCATGGTCTGTAGTAATTGTAATTCTTCAGATATGGCCACAGATAGTGCACAGGGTGTAATCTATTGCACAAATTGCGGGATGGTACACGAAGAAAATATTATTGTTAGTACTATTAGTTTCTCCGATAACGGTTTAAAAAGTACTTTAAATGGTAAAGTTATAAATATTGATTCTAAACAAGTGGGAACACAGTACATTGATGCCAGTTTTTATATTAAAAATACCATTTCAAGTATCTGTTCTAACATGGGCCTAGGATCTAATTTTCTTGATTGTTCTTACAGATACTATAGATTACTATTACCTTATAATCTCAGTAAAGGTAAATCTATTTTATACACACTTAGTGCTTGTGTTTATATAGTTTGTAGGGAAGAAAAAACTCCTCATTTATTAATTGATTTTTCTAATGCACTAAATATAGATGTGTTTAAAATAGGAAAGTCATTTACAAAAATAGTAGAAGTTTTAAATCTTAATATTCCAAATGTAGATCCCACTTTATATATCCAGAGATATATTGTTAAATTAAATTTAAAAAATCAAAAAATACCCACACTCGCTCTACGGATAATGTCAAGGATGAGTAGAGATTGGATTACCACTGGTAGACGTCCTAATAATATTTGTGGCGCTGCTATTTTGATAGCCAGTCGTGTGTACAATGAAGAACGATCGTTAAGCGAGGTCGCAAAAGTGGTACATGTGTCTGAGTTTATTTTAAAAAAAAGATTATTAGAAATACAAGACACCCAAACTGCAGATTTAAGTGTAAATCAATTTAATTCTGAGTGGCTTACAAGAGAAGAAGATCCGCCTGTACTAAAAAATATAACTAAAAAAAAAATAAGAAAATTAAAATATATTGACAATGAAGAAATTATTAATGAAGATTCTACTGATGATTTGCTAACCGAAGAAGAAGTTAATCAAAGAGAAAAAGTTTGGCTTGAGATGTATGGAGAATTTATGAAAGAAAAGGAAGAAAAATTAAAGCACATAAAGAAACCTAAAAGACGTCATGTAAAAAAACAGTACAATACGGTATCAGACGTAGTTAAATCTCTAAATAAAAGAATATCTAGTAAAATTAATTACTCAATTATTGAAAATTTATTTGAAGATTTGTAACAAAATAAATAAAATATAACTAAATAACAAAAATGAGTGACAAGGTAACGGAGCAAATTGAGGATGAGGTAAATAAATTAAAAAGTAAAGTTGCTGAGAGACTTAAAGAAACTGAAGAAATAGCTGATTTAGAGGGAGGATTAGAAAAGCGTTCATCTGGATTGGTAAGGACTACAGAAGAACATCAACAAGTCTCTAGCGATACTAGAAGAAGATTGTTTTATAAATGGGCTAAATATACTATAATTTTAGCTTTAATTATTGGACTATTGGTATGGATTGTTTTTAAACCAATATTAAAGCCGATATTTGAATTTATTTACGCCAAAATTTTTGGTAAATAAAATAAAAAGTTTTTTTAAAATATATTTGTTTTTTATGCAAGGTGAAATATTGTTATAAAGTTGTTATTAAATGTAAATAAGTTAACTCTAGTTGGCATTTAGAGATATGTGTTTATTGATTAAATTTCTACTTAGACTTTATTTTCTAAATATAATTTTAGATCAATCTATAGTAACCAATAGACCTCTGCTACAATATTATGATTCTTTTCTTAAAAAGATTAAATAATAAAATTAGCTCCAACAAAATTTGCATAAATTCATAGTGGAGTAACTGTTAGGAATGCGGCCAGTGGAGAGGAAGATTTCTATTGCACTAAGTATACGCGGGCCTGTTTGTGATGTTCTGTGAGATTTAGAATGAGAAGACATATTATTGAAATGTAGTTTATTTACAATTGCCCGGGATGTTCTTCGGGAACTATTTTCACCCGATCTTCTAGACTCATCCACTCTTGGATTGTCTCCTTGTGTATACATTTTTAGTGTTCAGGGAAAATTTCTTTTTATAAGTTTATTTGTTTACATAACAAAATTAATTAACAAACAAACAAAGATTTAAGAAGAAACACGTGGTAATAAAATATTACCACACATAGATATGTACTTTTTTTACTTTATATTTTAAGATATGTCATTGTTTTTGTCTTTTTTCATGTTATATTGTACATAACTAAAAAATTATCTTTGCAACAAAACTTAATATTAGACTACTTAGTTATTAAATACGATCAATAACTATTCAAACGACTTTACGAAAAAAAATTAAAAATTAAAAATTAAAAATGCCGCTAGTAAGCAACATTTTGCAGATTTCGTCATTTGTAGATAAATAATTTTTGTAAAAAGCACGCAAAAGTTAATTATCGTTTACCAATAGCATAAATATATAAGTTTAAGTAAACGTTCAGTATGAAAATGTTCATTAAAAAAAATTCTTATGTTATATTTGTAAAATAACTACCTATTTTACAATATAATAAGATTATACATTTTTCACATGTTTTTAATAAAACCTATACAATATTTATGTATTCTTATTACACCGAATACAATTTCTCTTTCTATGCCCTTATGACAAAAGAAATATTTATAAATCTATCTCATTTAAAAATAAAAAGACTTCCATCTACAGTCTTTTCAAATACATCAAAATTAGATCTTCGTAGAAATTTATTTACTGATATGAATCTTATTCCATTACCAAATCTTAGCACATTAGATATGTCAGACAATAAAATAAAATATATACAATGTAAAAATATACCTAATGTTTTGAGTTTAGATTTAAGTTATAATTTAATTACGAATATAAATAATTTACCCAGTGGGTTGGAAGAACTTTATTTAATATGTAATGATATTACTAAAATAGAAAATTTACACTTACCACATTTAAGAATATTAGATCTAGCAGTCAATGAAATAAAAACGTTAGAAAATTTAGATAATTGCCCATTTCTACATGAGTTGTATCTTGGAAGTAACCAAATATCAGAATTACCTGATTTAACACATCTAAAACACCTCAAAACATTAGATTTACAAAATAATAATTTAGTGAAGATTGATTGTAAATCATTGCCTGTTTCTTTAAATCAACTTTTGTTGAGTGAAAATTCTCAATTGACAGAAATTATAAATATAAACTGTCTTACCAATTTAAATTTACTGGCTATTAAAAAAACATTAATTACGGATATTAATGTAAATAAGCATGTAGAGGTTTGGAGATAACTGTTAAAAAATATATTTATTTATTAAACTTTCTTAATATTTAATTTATGAATAATAACAATTTTTTTATATTCAAAATCCATTTTTTTAACTAAAGATGAAATAGAAGGTGCGATATGCGATCTATTATAGGTAGAATCAGCTCTTAGCAATAGTAAATTAGATAATCTATCTTTAATTTCTTTCAACATTAGATCATTTTTTAAAATGTTAATATTTTTTAGGTATTCTATACTTGGCCTTTCTCTAAGTTTTTTATTTAATATTTTAGATGTGTAAGTGATTTTATGTCTAAGGAAATCTTTAGAATAAAAAACTGAATTTATTTCTAGTTTACATTCTTCTTCATGTGCCAATGGTTCATTAAGGTATTTTGCTACTTTAAATTTTATATCATTATTCATAAACAGCGCAGGCTTTAAATTTATATTTTAAATTTCATCATTTTTCATGACCAATGAAAATATAAAAGGAACTAAAAAATTTTATTTGTTAAAAAAGCTTGATTTTTATGACAATGATAAAATTTCTAACTAAAGAATATTTCTTTTAATTTACTAAAAATAAATTAAATTTTCTAATATAAAAAAGAAATTTAAAGTTTAATTTTCTCATCTTTATGCACGTTTCTTATATCAATTAAATTTTTTAGGTACAAATAAAGATTAACATGAAAAGTGTTTTATAAATTTCACATACAAAAAGATTATTTAAAAAAGTTCTTCTAGTCTTACAAATGCTTAATGCCATACAATATTTAATAGAAACATTACACTTAAAAGTTTACATGCTTTTTTAATACTAGACAATTAAAAAAAAACAGTAAAAATTCAATATTATAAAAAAAGCAATTAAATCATTCATAATAATAAACGGTGACACAACACATATTCATAAATTACAAATAATTATTTAACAATTATATATTTTATATACCTACTTAAGCGTTCTTTAATATATGTGTAAGACATAAGGTAAAAATATTTGCCTATAATTTTTATTCAAATTTTTGTTTAAAAACGGAAAAGTTTATAAATAAATTTCCAGTTTATAATAATTATTTATTGAATTAACTAGCTAATATTATTATCTAGAATAAGTAATCTTTCCTTTTTTTATGTTAAGACATATTAAAGCTTTATTAAATATTGATGAGTGTATTTAAATAATAAAATAATAAGATTTAACTTTCTATGCTTTTTAAATTTACGTTTAGTTTGTTTGTTAAAAAATAAATAATTTTTTTAAGCATAAAAATGAATTTTTATATTACCCCATACATGAAGTTAGAAAAATTATACAAAGAATTATCTACTAATCCAAAAGTAATAAAAGACATTGAAATTGAAATAGATGCATTAATTAAAGACGAGTCACTTGATAAAACTTTTATGCTGTTTAAGTCGAATATAGTAGAATTGAGAATTTATGCACTTAAAATTATAGAAGAAAGACTTAAATACAAGAAATCCGCAAATTTATCTTTGGACATGGAAATTTCTGCAATGAAGAGTATTATTCTTATAGATACAAGTGACAAGACTGCAGAGGTTTTTGCAAAGCTTGGAATTTATGAGTGGCCTAAAACTTTTATTGATTTTTTTCAGATTATTATAGATTTAATATCAAATAAGCAAGAAATGGGATATAAAATATTATATAACTTTCTTTATTTGTTAAATTACAGCCAAGAAATAAATGATAAACGAAAGAATGAACTAAAAAGGGCTGTTGGTATGATTTATAAAGGTTACATGCAATTATTTGAAGATTCGTTTGCAAGTATTATTATACCTATTTTAACTGAATCATTAAAAATATTACCTAAAGATTTTGATTACTCTATTATATATAGACGAGGATATGAGTTTCCTAATAAAACAATAGAATTTATTAATGACATGGGAAATCTGCTTAATTTAGAAGATGTTATTGAATTATCTTCTAAAATGCCTGTATCAGTTGGGATGTTAATATATTTTTCGTCACTGAAGAATAAAGCTCCTAAAACATCTAATGTTACAAAAATGTATGAATATGTGTTTAAGGGTCTTAGAGGAGATTTATCTACATTTATTTTATCTATAGAATTTTGGACTAAATTTTTTTGTCTTAAAAATCAAGATCAGTTTGTAGAACAAGTTCTTACTGAAGTTTTATACATTTTTGTTAATTTAGATGAACAAAACAGGTTAGAAGTTGAAAGTGAAGTATATGGTTTGTACAATGTTCTTGTAAAAAATTATTCCGCTATGGTTTTTACATTTATAAAAAAGAATGGAGATTTACTACCTAAAAGATTATGTTTATTTTTTATTAAAAAAATATACGATACAATGCAAAAAAATAATTTAGAAGGAGATATGAAAACATTAGTATTTAAAAATCCGTTACTTAATGGTACAATTTTAGAATTATCTAATGATGTAAATGCAGTAGAATGCATACAATTTTTAGATTTTTTAGACAAAGATAGTGAAAAATTATGCATCAGAATCATTAATAAATTTGCTGTAAATGAATTTCTATTAAATCAAATTATTGAGAGATGCATATTTAAAGATAAAGAAAATGCTAATGAGCTAATTGTTGAATGTTGTATAAAATTGGGTAAAATTGAAACTTTTGAAGAGCCATGGGATAAAAATAAGTTTATTAGATTTTTCTATTATCTTAAATATGTACCTTTAAAAGTTATCCAGTATACGAATTCGTATCTTAAAGCTTTTATAGAACATAGTCCATTTGATAGATGTTTTTCAATCCTTAAAATGCTTAATAATGTGCCTAAGGAAGTTTATGAAAAAATTTATGAAGATATTTTTAGATATCCTTATGAAGATCTTAATTGTTTCAATAGAGATTTACTTATATTCTTTGAGTTACAAGATCCTTTTATACGAAGAGAAATTGATAGAATTCTTTATGATTGGAATATTTTAGATAATACAGATTCTTTAATACTTTGTACTAGGTCTTTAATTAGTGTTTTTTCTGAAGGGGTTAATAAATCTAACACTACAGGAATGCCATTTAATTCCATAAATTCATTATTCGATTTGTTACGCATAGAGGATCCCGGAATAATTAGAAAGATTTGTGATGTCTTTTATTCATACAAGGGAAGGTATGATGTGAAAAAAGCTTTATATTTTCTCCTTGTAAATTATAATTCTAGTCATGTTGAGGCTTCGCATATCAATATTTCTGCTGCTTTAACTAAATGTATTAAAGAAGAAGGAGGAGCCGAAGCTCTTAATGAAATATTGAGTGGTATACCACTTGATAATTGTATTAATCTAAGGACTGAATGTTTACAATACAACACAAAAAGGGGACAAATGCTTGTAAGAAATTTTTTACACAATTTTAAGGGGAAACCCCTAAATACACTTTATGAGGACAATTTTAAAGTAACAGAACAGAATTTTATAAATTCTGATAATAAAAAGACAAAAGGAATTGACTTCCAAATAGACAGAACATTTTTTGGATAATTTTTATTTGTTAGCTTCTCCTTTAATTTTTTTATAAATTGGATTTACAATATTTTTTTATGAAAAGCGAAACTAACAGAAGTTTATGTTTAAAGGTGCGTGATGCTGATGAGGAAATCGTGAGATTATTAGAAGACAAAGCAAATGAAAAAGTACTTGATCTTCATCTTTCTGTACTAAAAAATAGTGGAGATCCTTATAAACATGTTAGATTTAACAAAAAAAAACTAAAGAAAAGAAGATTGATTGTTTTATTATCACTGGGCGTTTGTAGCCTTGTATTTTTAGGATGGTTAGCAGTAAAAAATAGTGATTCTTATTTGTATCTACATTAAAAAGGTTTTTTGTCAGTCTAGTTTTATTGTCACCAAAATGTTTCATTAAGTTTATCAAATGAAAATTCTGTTTCATATTCATCTTTTTATTGATGTAGTGACATGCCTTTTCTTACTACCAAATAATTCTTAAACTAACATTTAAAATTTTTTTATGACGATGTCTGACATCTTTTGCTTTATCTTTAAAATTTTTTAAACAAAAAAATGATTTTTTCATTTATCTGTATTTTTAGTTTTTTTATAAATTGTGTAGATACGTCTAATGGTACATACATTATTAAAGTAAAAATACATTTAGATGAGCAGACATTGCTAAAAATATACCTTTTAGAAAAAGCAAAGTCTTTAAAATCTACAATTGGAAAGAGAGAACATGTTAGAAACTATTTAAACAGAATTTTTAATGAATTTAATACCGACATTGCAAAGTACAATGTGCAGATAGTAGGGGACTTCAATGTGTTATTAATTGAAGAACTAGATTTAGGCATTGATAAAAAAGGGCTTTGTAGTAATGAACTTATAGCTAGTGTAATGACCGCACGTTCATATTATAAATTATCTTGGCCTGTGACTGATGGTATGGGTCTAACAATACTGGGTGTGTCGTGCTTAACATTTCCGCCCAATCAAATACCATTCCACCTAATGCCAAGTTTTGGGTGTGGAAAACTGGCCACGATATTCGTAATCGATCCTTTTACACTAAAAATTCAATTAAAATTAATACTAAAAAGTCTGATTACGAATGGGGTTGGTTTATTAGCACCTACATCTTCTCGGATATTTAAAACTGCTCTTTTAAAATACGCTAAACTATGTACAGTAAAGAACAACTTGATTGGTAAGTTTAATAGTGAAGTAAGTTATGTTGAACATACTACAGAACAAAAGATTGAAATTAAAGAAAATAAAGAATTTTAAATTAAAATTAATTGTGTAAATTAAAATAAAAACGTAGAATTTTTTTAATATAGCAAAATATAAGAGCTAGTGGCTTAAAAGTGTAAAATACACAGCCATATAAAACTCTTCATGCATCTAAAACAATATTTTTTATTTTTAAATTTTTTAGATATCTACAAACCTAATCAAGAAATAAACTAATAGCAAATGTTCTGCATGCAAAGACTAAATTTATATTTTAATGACAATTTTAAAATAAATATTTTATGATTATAATCAGAACATTGTAATAATATGACTTTTATAATTAAAATAAAGAAATTTTTTAAGTGCCAATGACTCATTTTAACCAACAGTTTGTTTATAGAAAACGTTTTTTAAAATATAAATACAATGTAATATTTTCATTACATTTCATTGCTGATAAGCGTGCTTTTACAAAAATTTAAATTATAAACTGTAAATTCTAAATACATAAAACAACTTATTGTAGATAAGTTATATGTCAGAAATAAGTTTAAATTTTAAAAATGAAACAAAATAAGAAGCGTTAGAAAAGTATAATTTTATAAACACATAAAATTTTTTGCAAAAATTGATATGCACAGGTCATTAAAATTTCTCATTATGAATGAAAAATATAAAGGTTGTTGTATTTTTTTATATTTTATAGTCTAATCCTATCTGCCAGAAATAGGTGGCAGATTGTTGTTCTTTAAGTAGTATTCAATTAAACTACTTAATTTAAAGATATTTTTATTTAACCTATATATTGATTGCATTCTTGTATTTTTATGACACGTTTATATTTTTAGTTTTGATTAAATCAAAATTTTCTTTGTTACACCAATAAATTTAGAATTTATACAAATAAATTTATTAATTTTTATTAATGTAGCTGTTTTAGATTACACCAATAAATTTAAAATTTAAATGTTATGATTATATATAACACTAACACATATTACATTTAACACTTAAATGCTATAAGAAAATCTGTTATAGTGGTTTTAAATAATTATACAAAAATAACTAAGCTAAAAATATAATTTTTTCACAACTTCTAAATAACTTGTAAAGAAAAAACAATGTAATAAATCTTAAATTTACATCATTGTAAATGTTTTTTACCAAGATATGTATATTTAAAACAACCATAAAAAAGTAAATTAAATGACAATCTATATTATTATTAACGAGTTCTATAACTCAAACACTCACACTATAATAAAATATTTTAATCTCTAAAGATAAACTGTTTGCTAAGTAACTTAATATGTTTATTGTTCAATCACGATTTTTATAATTTAAAATTAAACATTTTCATAAAATTTAATTTGCAATTTTTAAAAAATTAAAAATCTAACACTTTCCATTTTTGGTAAAAATATTTGTAGAAAATAAAACTTTTCATTGTTATCTTAACAATGCTATTTTTGCAAAATAAATCTTAAACAAAGTTATACTTTTGATATGCAAATTTACTATTCTAAGAATTTATCAAAAATAAATTGTAATATTTTTATAAAACCTTAATTAATCAAAAAAATATTAATTTAAAGAGATAATCAATCTTTTTATCTTTATGATTTAATTACCTGTTTTTTTAATTAATTTTATAGTATAAATACAAAAAAAAAACATTACCCATAAATGAAAATTTCTAAAAAAGTCAATAAAAAAGTCAAAAACTTAACACTTACAGAAAACCGTGCATTGGCCTTTAAGTCTACGGGTAATTTTTCATTGGATCTTTTTGTTATGATGGGTGCAAGTAGAGGGATGTCTATAATTAATTATTTCAAGAAGGCCTTTAAGATACAGCCTAAAGAAGTCTTAAGAATAGTTCTTTATTCTAGAGATATAAAGGAGGGATTAGGGGAGAGAGAACATTTTAGGGATATTTTAGCTTATTTGGAAGAAGCTAATTTTGATTATTTTAAAAAGATGGTTGAAAAAGCTCCTTTTTTAGGAAGATGGGATGATATTCTTGTTGCTAAAACTGATGAAGGATTTAAATTTGTTGCAAATAAGATTAAAGCTGCAATAGATGAACAGATTGTTGAAACTGTGAATTATTCGCTTGCCGCAAAATGGATGCCAAGACAAGGTAAAATTGCTTCTAGGCTTAGAAAACAGTGGAATATGGGAGCAAGGGAGTACAGAAAATTTTTAGTTGGTGCTACTAAGGTTGTTGAGACTGATATATGCAATAAAAATTGGGGAGAAATTGACTTTAAAAAAGTCCCGTCGTTAGCAATGGCTCGACATGCAAAGGTTTTTAAAAAAAATTGTCCAGGACGATTATTAAAGTATGTAAATGACGTCGCGGAGGGAAAAACAAAAATTAATGTATCAGCAATATATCCTTATGACGTAATAAAGTCTTTAAGAACTGCTGGACCTGAAGTTGCGGAGCAGCAATGGGAAAAGATGGTGAACACCATGGATGTCGGAGGTTTTCTGCCAATGGTTGATTCATCTGATTCAATGAATGGAGGAATTGGAGTAGATTCAAAAAAAGGTAGCTTATCATGTAGAGACGTTGCAACGTCGCTTGGACTTTATATTGCAGCAAAGCAAAAGGGTGCTTTTCATAATCTTATACTCAATTTTGATGCGTATCCTCAATTTTTAGATTTAAACGATTTCAAAACTCTGGAAGAAAAGGTAAAAGCAATAGATAAAATGGAATGGGGAGGTAATACTAACATTACTGCAGCTTTTGAACTAATTTTGTCTGTAGCACAAAAGAAAAATGTTAAAAAAGAGGATTTGCCTAAGGCTCTTATTATTTTATCGGACATGGAATTTGATGACGCAGTAAATAAATCTAAAGAAGATGAGGACAAGCTGTGCACGATTTATGAAGATTTTAAAAAGAAATATGAGGAAGCAGGACTTGAAAGACCATTAGTTATTTTTTGGAATATACAATCAAGAGAAAAGCATTTTCCAGTTAAGAAGGATGAGGCTGGTACATTACTAGTTTCAGGGTTCTCTCCAACAATTGTTAAAAAAATTTTCAGCGGTATGAATATTGAAAAAGCTTGTGATCCCCTAATGCTTATGTATGACGTAATATATGTCCCGAGGTATAATTTCGAATAAATTTATTTATCTTATCGTCTTAAAAACTTTGTATATTGTTGTATCCATTGTGTTTGTTAGACATTTGGTGTCTCTTAATATAGTTTATTTTGTAATACTTTTGCTCTTGGCTAATTTAACCTTTATCAGTATTTAAATATGTGTTCTAATTGTTGTACAATTTTTATTTTGTAAATAATTTTTTACAAGAACTACTAGGCACAAAAAGTTTAAAAAGCGTCTGTGTTTTTTATTTATGAAGATTGCACATTGGAATAGCAAATTATTGATGCAGTAGCATTTAAATTTAAATGTTTTTTAAAATAATAATAAAAATCAGCTCCCGCTGAACTGGGTTTTGTTCTTAATTTGTGTATTGTGGCAGGTGATGTTGTTCTGTATACTCACTTAAGGTGAGAGATGGTCTTAAGTAGAAAAAAGACCTTGTTTTTGAGGGAACGCTTTTTTTTCTTACAAGCAAGGCCGTAAAAATATGCCGGCGTGCAAGCACAAAATTGATATTTTATTTTTACAGCGAAGTTTTTAGTGCCCTGGTTGTTATTCTTCCGTTACTGTTTTTTTATTTTTGATAATAAACTTTTTATTTTTTTTTTATTCATCGCATAAGCTAATTCTGTTTTAAATTATTATTTTTTCTGCAATGATAAATAAAAATTTACTTAATTAAACATTAGAAAATGCCGCTAAACTTATAACATTTAAAAAAAAGTTTAATTTTTTGACATTTTATTGCGAAAATTTAGTTTTGGTACCAAACAGTTTAGTACCAGAACTAATAAACAATTTACCTTTGCTTACAGCAATCCCACTAATTTCAACCACAAATTTAAATTCATTTAAAACTTTGTATGGATCTAATTGGATTATTTGTACAAGATATTGACCCGAAATAATCAATAAATTTTCATTCAAAACTTTAATAAAATCAATATATCTAATATCTACTTGGTAACCTGTTTCTGTATCATCTTTGACAATATAAAACATATTAGTAGATGTTCCCAAGTATAAAATATTATTAAATGAATCAGCAGATGTTATAAAATAGTTCTTTTTTACTGAATTACAGTTATTATTGTAGTAAATTATAGATCCGTTACTGGCAATAAATAGTATTTTATCGTATAAATGTAAAATCTTAACAATTTTATACCCATTTGTATCTGCTATACACGTAGCGCAGTCATTTAATTCATAGCACTTACCATCGGTCTGTCCATAAAAAATCTTGCCATTAATAGCTTGAAGTGCAGAAATATTTTCAGTAGGATATATTTTACCTTCTGTTATATTAAAAATCCCTTTTTCTGTAGAATAAGCTACTTGTAAATTCCTATCCGATGCAAAATTTCGTACATCAACGTATCTACCGATTTCATTGCTAAAATTTTGTATTAACCCGTTGTCAAATATTTTCATATCAGTTAAATATAAGCCTACAATAATACAATTTTGCTTTTCACAATATTTTATAAATGATATTGACTCATCAAAGTCTATTTCTACATCAAATTTATTTTTGTCGGGTTCGACTTCTATAATTATTTTCGTTTCATAACTATAACTGTATTTTTCTATAATATTTTTAATACTTGTTTTAAAAACTTCATTCTCAATGTAAAATGTGTAAAATTCATTACTATTTTTTATTAAATTAAGATAATTTTGTAAATCTTCGGCATTAAACGTATCTTCTATGTGAATAATATGACTTAAACCATCTTTTTCTACTAGCTCGACTAAAACGTTTGTCATTAAAAAGGGAAGATTTTTACTCCCTCATGAGAAAAATGAAAAAAATACTAAATTTAAGAAAGAATAAGAATAATGAAAAAGAACCACTTAAAAATATTAATGTTCCTACATTTAGTGAAGAATTTGCCTTTTCTCACTCGCTAAGACCTCCATATAATGTTTTATTAGACACAAATTATATTAACGATTGTGTTCGTAAAAAGAAAGATGTGAAAAATGAACTATGGACAGTTTTAGATGGAAATGTAAAAATGCATATAACTGATTGTGTTATAGCAGAGTTAGAAAAACTAGGACGTCCTTATAGAGTTGCTTTGGCTTTAGTAAGAGGACAAGATATTGTGCGTCTTAAATGTGACCATAAGGGAACCTACGCGGATGATTGTATCCTGGATCGTGTTACTGAACACAAATGTTATGTTGTGGCTACTTCTGATGTTGGTTTAAAACAAAGAATAAAAAATATTCAGGGGGTTCCTATAGTATCATTTAGAGGACAAAGATCAACTGTTGAGCGATTTATTCCTGCAACTTATTAATATGTGATGATTTTTTTAATTAAAAACGATATAATATTTTATTGATTCACTTTGAAACATGTTTTACATTTTTAAAATAAAAAAATATTTTCTTCGATTTTTTTATGATTACACTCCTTTTAATATTTGTATACACGTTCACAGACATTGATAATACAGAGGCTTACAATCTATTTGATGAAGAACATAAACTAGTAGTTCCTACTGAGCTGTCTGCAGTTCCTGATGTTACTCATATCTCTAAGAAGGATTTAGCAGATACCATTGTAGGGAAAATATATGGAGAAATAAGATACTTATTAAGTCACTACTATATTTATTTTTCTACAAACAGCCCAGATTTTAAGAAGTGGTATGATTCTGACTTTTTTGAAATGGATGATAAGCTTAAGTCTTCTATTGTAAATGGCTTAAATACTAATATTAAATCAATAAGAGACCTTGACCCATTCTGGCTTGAAACACAGGGTCCTTATTTACAAGCCAGAGTGACAAATCTAAGTAGCATGATTTTAAGACTTAAAAACTTAATGGATGCACAGAGCACAAAATACAACAATGTTAAAGACGACCAAGAATTAAGCACACTAGCCCCAGAAGATAGAAATGTTTGGCTGTACAATAAAGCCATTTACATTGTCGAAAATTTAAAAGCAGGACTTAAAAACCACGAAGATGGTAGATTTCCCGAAGTGTACAAAAATTTTATTAATGCAACCGTTGAAAAGAAGAAGATTGATGCCGTTTTTAGCAAAATTGTATTAAGCATATAAATAAATTTTAATTTAATATAAACATTTTGTTTACAACATATACAAATTTTCATTACATAAACATTCTAACGCATTTAAAAACCACCAGTCACAATTATCATGTTTCAACTTTTTATAAAGCTGTTTAACAATCAAAAAAAACTTAATTTCAAATTCTTCTAAATTTATACATTCTTCTTTTTTGTCAAGACCTATAAAATTAAAAGTTAAATCTATAATTTGTGATAATATTAAATATGTATCACTAGAAATTAAAAAAAGATTTTTTAGATACTTTAAAATAGTGTTATTAATATCTCTTATAAGGTTATCTATATCACTAAATATAATATTTTTTAGATCTGAAAAAATTGAAAATTTTAGATGCTGTACAAAACACAACATTAATTTTGAAAATCGATAGTGAAAATTTTTCTGTAAAAAAAATTGAATAACAGAAAAAGTAAATAAAAACCTAAAAATTATTTCTAACTCTATAAAATCTTTTTTTGTTAGTATTAATTTTAGAATTTTAGGATTAAAGTCTAGTGTAATAAATTCTAAAATCGATTGGTTATTTTTGACTTGTAAATCTGTATTTAAAATTTTATAAATAGTGTTATTTATGTCATAATTTGTTAATTTAAAACAAATCATGTCTACTTTTTTAAATAAATTAATTTTGCGAATTAATTTCTTATTTTCTTCTGAATGTATAGAAAAATCGTTAGATAAGTTAAATGATCTATCATTGTATAAATCTGTAAATAAATCGCTATAAAATGACATATCTTGCAATAACAGATATTTTTCCATTAAAAAAATTTCATATTGTAAATCTTTACATAACAAATTGTAGGTTATGTCTTTTACAAAAGAAAGTGTGCCAGATATTCCTTTCTTAAGTATTATATCTTGACTGATATAATTAATAATATTAATATCTAAACAATTAAGTAATTGGACCAATTTACCACATTTTAATATTTTTTCATTTTCCTCTGATTTAGCACTAGGTTTTAAATAATATTTAGATTTCCAAAATCCTTCTTCAATATTTTCTAGATTTAAATTATGTTCTGTAATAAAAAATGAAGACGATAAACTACCGTATATTATCCAATTAATAATATTATCATCAAAATGTTTAGTAATAGATTTTTTTAAATCTTTAAAAATAGGTTTTTCTAGTACAGAGAAAATATTATAATATATTTCTGAGTCATCAGATGTTCTACAAGCATCAATAATGAACTTAAAATCTCTAAATAATTCTATAAAACTTTGTATACTAACATATAAAGTTTCTAAATCTCGTGTATTCCTGTTTTCTTCAATTTTCAGGAGATACAACTTTTTATGCTTTAAAAAAAAGTCGCTAATTATTTTTTTTATGCAATTTTCATAAGAAATATTTTTAAAAATGAATTTATGTGTAATTCTAACATTTATGCAAATTTCTTCAAAAGGAAAAAGGTATTCAAGAGGATAATTTCCTTCTAAAAGTAGAGCGTATTTTTTATTTTTCATACCAATAGATAGATATTCGGTATCAATGCCACATAACATAAATATCATATTTTCAATAATTATATGATTTCTATCAAATAACTGGCAAGGACTCTTTGTCATTTAAAGGGTAAAGAAAATTATAAAGAAAGATGCTAACTTGTGATAAATAACTTTTTACACAGTAGAATTAAGATTGTAATTTATATTTCATCGAGATGTTAATGTTATTTAATTAGTCAAATTTATCTATAATAAAAATTTAAATATGAATGTTATCTTAATATATAAAATTATAACTGTGATATTTCTTTTATCACAACTTTTTTATAAAACTATTTTGTACAGAAAATAAATAATTAAAGGTAAATTGTATAATTTTAAGTAACAATTTGACTATTTTTTCTAAAAATTATGCTTTATTTAAATTTTACAATTAATGCACAATTTTAATATTAATAGCACATTTTAAATCCATAAAAATAAAAAAGTAAAAATGCTTACTTATCATGTTTTGTAAAAATTTTTGTCGAGGAACAATAATGTTTAGTTTTAATAATTTTTAATAATTTTCTGACTCATGCAGGAAGAAAGCCAATCAATAAAAATATTATTTATAATTTTTTTTCATAATTTTATGAATAGATTAATAACAAGGCAGAAAAGAAATTACTACTTGCAAAAGGCTGATATTAACATAAACAGGCATAATGACAAAGCTATTTCTAAAATAAACGATTCATTATTGTATAAAAACAAATTATCTAGTGATTACTTACTTGTTTAAAATAATAATTTATATAAAAGTCATTAAATACAAGTGCTAAATTTAAAAATCATTTATAACAAATGTTAATCATGGTTTTTAAAGTTATATATTGATAACTATAACTAATTTATATCTTTATTCACACAATAATTCATTATCAAACTTGAAAATTTAAGTAAATATAAAAAAATTATAGCGATATTAAGTGAATAGTTATTTTAGTTAAACTTACATAATACAATTTAATACAAAAGCATTAGTAATCAATTTTAATTATTTGATTTAGTTACATAATAATAACATTATTTTATACGTTAAATCTATAGTAATTAATTATTAAATTGTATCCTTAAATGTTTGAGGAATCCCTCGGTAAACTATTAAATATTATACAGTCTGAAGATTGTTATAAAATACAGATCATCAGTAGAGAAGATATAAAAACATTTATTAAGTTTTTAGATTACAACAATATTACGTTTTATTTGCATTCTTGGAATGCAAGTTCTGATAGTCCAAATGATATTCATATTTACACATCCTTAAAAAATCTAAATTTAAATCACAAAAAAATAATTCTATATTCTAATATTTATAACATTAATTTTGTGCAATATGTGTTTACTCCTACATACACAGATAAATTAATGTTTTATAAATCATACAAAAACAGTAAAAAAGTTATTGATACATATAACACTTATACAATACATGAATTATATAATAAGATTTGTATACAAGAAAGTATTATAGAAAAATATGTAGAAATATTTTTTGACTATTATGAGGTATTACTCCTTTATGCAGTTTCAAAATATTCAGATATTTTTAAAATATTATCTTGTGTACAAGGCATTGATGAAAAAATACAAAATTTATTTTTGTTAAAACTTAAACTTAATGGATTAGTAGATAAAGAAATTGTATTACACAAAAATAATGCGTATAAGCTAAATGTAAGTATACAAACACTAGCTAAGATATGCAATAAGGCAGAATTAAACATTTTTGCATGAGAAATTTTTTTGAAATTTTTTATTAAATACATGTAACAAATATTACTTGTAGTAAACAGGTTCAAAGTGATTAGGTGTGTGTAATATTGTTATTTTTTGCTCATACATTCCGTATAATCTACTGCAATTTTCGTTATTCTCTTGAATATCAATAACTTCTATAGAAAGGGGTAAAATTTCAACTAGAGCACAAATCTCAAGATACCCAGCTTCAATGTAAAAAGGTTCTATAAATTTTTTACAATATGTTTCTACCGTCATATCGGGGATATAAGGCTGATATAACTCAGAATTTATTCTCATTTGTGCTGAAATGGCAAGACGTATTAAATAAATAATTTCATACCACCTCTCCAGACATACATCTTCTAGTTTCTCATCACTGTTAATAATATCATTAAATGCTTCTATATTATTAATATACACAACTTCATCAATATTTAAATTTGTCAAATAGTTTTTAACTCTGTCTGTAAAGGAAATCCACTCACTTGAAAATGAAGAATTTTCGCGTGCAAAAGTAATAATTTGTACTGATAGACTGATATAAAGGCAATTTCCATCTCTTATAATTTCTCTAAAATATTTAAGATCTCCAAATTTCTTAGAAAACTGATTATGAAGGAAAATATCTTTTTTTTCAGAAACTGCTTTACCTTGAAATTTTGGTTTTGCCATAATAGGGGGTGAATAATCATAAAATCAATTGTAAAAATGTAGCAGATTAGATGATATTTTTATCAACTTTCAACATGTCTGTATTTAGAACATCTTCCAAAATAACCATCCTATGATATCCATGGACCTGTTTTTTATAAAGATTGCCTTTAAAAACAATAGGTCCAAAAATGTGTAGTAAATCATTTTTAGAGGTACCACTAAATTTCTTCTTTTTTTCTATATTTTTAAAAAGATTTTGCAGAAGAATTAAAAATATTCTATTTCTACTATTTACAATAAATGGCACTCGTTTTATGATCTTCTTCTGTTTTATTGGATTATAATTAACATATGCATCAAATAACTCTTCATTCACGGCATTAGGCAAAAGTGGAATACTGTTGTCTCTAACAATTTTAATAAATGTTTGACCCAGCAGATAAATATCAATATCATCATAATTAATATCTACATTTGAATTATTTATTAAGTCATAAACTTGTTGTATTTCATTCTCTTTAAAACTTCCGTAAAATAATTTATGTGTTTTGCTTTTAACTAGAAAAAGTTCTATTAATTTGATAATTTTATCAGAACAAAACGATTCATCTTGATTTTCTACTTTTAGGCATAAAATGGCTGCTAAACAACCTGGTATTTGACACATTAAACCATTATTTTCTAAAATATCTTCTATACATTTATTTCTTAAAGACAATGTTTCTTCTTGTGTTAAAGAATCATACAAAACATACTCTCCGTTTATCAAATTTGCCATGATTGAAACTTAAAATTATTTATAAAGCAAACATGATACATTTAAAATATTCAATAACAGGTCATTACATAATTTTAAATGTCTCGTAAAATTTTGAAACACTTATTCTAACATCTTTAAATTATGCAAAATGTTTCTTAAATATTTTTTTTGCATAAATTTGTTTTTTTAAACTAATAAATTGTTTTTAATTTTTTTGTATAAATAATTTTTTTTTCTTTGAGGGGTAATATGGCAGCAGAAGAGAAAAACCAATTATTATTTGTTGACAGAACTAAAATTGACAAATTGTTGGAAGACATTAAAGAAGAAAATAAGGAGTATACCGATACTATTCAAGTACAAGTTAGTCTTAGGGGCTTAGATCCAAGAAGAGATAATAAAATTACTAAGGATATTACTATGCCTTATAAATCAAGATATTTAAGTAAGACTATTGTTTTGGCTGATAAAGATACTGGTGCAATTTGTGAAGAAAAAGGTATACCTTTTGTTTTGATCGATGATCTTATGCAGGATAAAATGATTACTGAAAAGAAAAAGATCTTTAAATCAAACAAATATTTTATTTTATGCAAAGGATCTAATAAAGTTTTTCAGACTAAAATATTTTTAAGAGCTGGTAAAATTCCTTATATGCTTAAAGATGATGATAAAGTTGATGTTGTATACAACAATGCTCTTAAAATGTATCGAATGAGGGTTAAGGATATGTCTGTTACATCTTTTCCTGTTGGACATACTAAAATGGATAATAATGAAATTTTTGAGAATATTAAGCATGGACTTACAATTATGACGGCTGCATTAAAAAAAGGAGAAGAAAATATAAAGAATGTTTTTTTGAAGGGAGCACAAAGGGCACCAAAAAAACTTTATTAATAAATTAGTTTATTAATTTTGCCTTGTACCTTTGGAATGTTCTTTCTAAAGTTGTTTGTTTATTCTGTGTTTACTTTGAATATTTAAAATTTATAAACTATATAATTTATCAGTTAAATGAGTTTGTAATAAAAAAGTTTCAATCAAATAAAATGTTTTACAGAAAAATTGTCCTAATTACTTTAAATTCTGATATGTAAAATGGTTGTGTAGATTATCAATAATATTTTTATTGGTTTTACTTTCTTCCTGCATGAGTCAGAAAATTTATAAAATAAAATATAATTGTTCCTTGACATAACTAAATAATAATTTTAACTTTTGTACATGTATAATCTTATTGAGAATAAATGTATTTTTTGTGTGTTTTTTTTCGATAATTTACCATAAAATAATTAAAAATCAAACTGATAAAATTTTAATTAATAAATGAAAAAAGCTTATTCTAGTATTATATTAATTAATCAACCATTTATTGATTTTTTTCCAGAAAAAAATAACTTAAAATTACCTTTTTTTTTTATATACGCAACACCAAAAGCAATTAGGAAAACACATACACACACAGTGGCGTAATACGGAAACCTACTATTTTTTGAATCAAAATTATCACCAGAATTTGATTCGTTTTGTCTTCTATACAAATTTTTAGGTTTATTATCATTATTTATTTCCTTTGTAATATCATTTTTACTATCTTCCTTTTCTGTAATTAGCTCATTTTTGTCATGTAAAGTTTCGTCATTTTCTTCCACAATATTTTTCTCGCACCCATTTTCTAAACTAATCTTATCTTTTATTAATTGACTAACATCTAAATCATTTTTTTCCAAAATATTATTAAAATTGTCTTTCGCTTGATTCTCATTACAATTATTAGAAAACAGATCAGGTTCAATTAATGCATTAGAATTTTCAATATCAAGCAAGCTATCTTTAATTTTTAAATTATTCTCTACATCAAAATCTTGCGTTTTGACTTTTGTGTTAAAGTCATTTAATTCAGCAGTATTCTCAATGGAATTTTTATTTTGCAAAATAATACTATTTTGATCCTCAAAATTTCCATTTTTAGTATTATAAAAAGAATCCGACGCTTCATCAAAGTTGTTGTTAAATGTTTTAATTTCTTGCATTGTATCATTTTTCTCATTTTCTTCTCTACATTCTTCTTGTTCATCCTCTTTCATTGCTTCGTTGGCAAAATCTTCAATATCTTTGCAAAATAATTCTTCAACAACTTTTTGTGCGCTTTTTGACAAGAAATTATTAACATTTTGAAAAACTTTCTCACACTCTTTGACTTTTGCATAAAAAGAATCTCCAGCAACATACACAAAATTGAATGCTTTTTCTTCCAAAAAAATGGAACTTAAATAAAATTTTCTTTCTAAATTTAAATTACTGAGTGATTCTGCCTTGCGTTGTAAACTATAACTGTCAACATTTTCATATAAAATTAAAGAACTTGGTCTCTTCTTTTTCTTAATACTATCCAAAAAAATTGTCCAAATATGGCGGCCAACATATCTAACATTTTTAAATATCAGTTGTCTACTTTTATTATGTATGCAAGTTTTTTCGTCAATGTTCGTGTTACTAATCATAACAACGTTTTCATTGTCAAGTAAAATCAGAATACATAATCGAATGTATTTTTCATTATCAATTATTGGCATAATTTTAATATATCCAAAGTTGCTTTCTTCACTCAGTGCATTGTAAACTTTAATATCACATTCAATTTTATTAACATTAAAACCGTAATTCGTAAAGTAAAGATTATTTTCTATGAGAACAACAACATCTTTAATCTTTTTAATTTCTTTTTTGTTGAATCGTAGCATAAAACTCATATCAGCAAATATTTCTGTTAAACTGAAAACAAATAAAAAAATTATCATGGGGGCTGAAAAGTTTTTTGATTATTTATAAAATTATTTATACAACATGCAAAAAAATTTATGTAAACAAAAAAATTAAATTAAAATATAGATTTGTGATTAAAAAATTGTAAAAACTCAAATTTATTTATTTACAACGTCGAAAATAATTATTTTAACGATTTTTTTAAAATTTAAACACAATTTAGAAGGATTGAGAAAATTAAAAACAATGATCATTTAATTCTCATTTTAAATTAATTTATTAAATAATTGATATGAAATCAATTATAATACAATGTTTTTGTTTAAATTTGCTTTAGAAACAACTTTTACATGTAAACATTTATTGTAAACTACAAAAACTGCATTATATTTACCATCATAAAATTTCTAGATTACTTTAAATTTTTTAATGTTTCAAAATTATGTTATTGTATTAATTAAAAAATTGTTGGTTTTAACGACCATCATATGTATACACATTAAATTTCGTGTGCATAAACATTTTGAGAAAAAATATCAATAATTTTTTTCTTAAAATTATTTTAATTTACAATTGAAGAAATTAGAAATTAAAAAAATTATAGCATATTTTTAATTTAACACTTTAAAAGTAAAACATTGCTTTAGTATTTTATCAATTTTAAATTTAAAACTAATATTTGCAAAATTATTTGAAACATTAATTATTATTTGACTTTTGCGCTTTTGAAAAATACTGCTTTAAGAAATATAACATTTACAAATATGATCTTGTTTGATAAAAAATATAGAATTTTAAGGTACTTTTTTCAACTTAATAAAAATGTAAAAGCTATGAAGATGAATTTAACATTTTTTTGATTTAATTAAATAATTAGGAAATTAAACCGTTATATAATTTTTAAGTAAACAATTTTGAAATTTATTGGACAGAAATAATTTCCATAGATTTGAGTATTTCAAATATATTATACATTTAGAAAATATATCCATAAAAAATATAAAAGGCGAAGCGTTATGCAAAAACGTTGTATGCATTATTTTTAAAAGAACAAAGTTATACCTTCTGCCTTACCAGCTGAATAATAATTTTTTTAAGGTTATTTTTTATATAATTTTTGTTTCTTAAAAATTAAACTTTAACTTAAAAGCATACAGATTTTTGATTTGTGTAAAACTTTTGCAATATACGTTACAAAGCTCTGCTAATAATTTGTTGAGGCAGAATTTTATATCTTTTTTAATAAAAAATTTTTATAATTTTTTTGTCCGGGATATTGTGTTTAAAATCACATTCTCCATATAAGTTTAAAATTCTTTTATAAATTAAAAAATGTTAAAATTTTCACAATAAAGCTTGAAATAGATGGTAATTTTGTTAAAGTAAAGTGGTTTACGTAAGCACGTATGTAATAAAGCTAGTTTGGAATTTAGGTTTAAACTTTATATAAAGAAAAATGTTTGTAAATTTTTTTTTCTAAAAAGTCTTAAAAATAACATTAAAACTGTATTTCAAGACCTTTTGTAGAAATTATTTATTTTTTATATTTAGAAAAACATAATAACTAAACTTATAATTTTAATTTTGACTTTGCAAAATAAAATACAAAATAATTTTTTACTTTTGTACAAAATAACATACAAGTGTCTAAATTTTAAATTTATTGTACGCTTTTAAATTTAAGGGCAAATACATTTTTTCCAAATGTTTGTAAAAAAATTAAATTTTTGACATAGATTATAAATGTTTATAAAAAAATAATAAAAACATTTTTTAAATTGTTCTAAGAAACAATATATAAAGTTTTTATATATTTTTGAGAAAACCTTTACAAAATCAATATTTTAATAAAACCATAATCTTTTTATCTTCTTTCTACTCTTAAAAAGATATATAATTGCAGTCAGACAAAATAAAAATAGTAAAGGATATAAATAACAATACAATGACTTCTTCCTATCTGTACTGTCTTCATTTTCCTTATTTTTTAAATCACAAGCAAATGGCTTGTCTTGCTCATTTTTTTCATTCGGTTCCTTTTTTAATTCACTACCGTAGAAATTAGGTGGAAAATTTATCCTACCTGCAGCTTTTATTTCCCCTCCTAAACTATTGTTTTGATCTCTTAAATCTCGAATTACCTGATTTGAAGATGTTCGATTATTCTTGTAATCTTGTTCACGCAATGTTGGTAGTTCCTTAATTTGAACATTTGATCTCCGAATTGTATTATTATAATCATAATTAGAACTAAAAGGAGCACAAGTATCATTTGTTTGCACTCCTTCAATATAATTAAAGTTTTTTTCACTGTCGTATGTACTCAAAATAGTTACCCTTTGTTGACCACTAGCCAAAATATTATCAAAACTTTTAACGTCAAACATTATTAATATTTTATCATAAATGTCAAACATTGTTGATATTCTGTCATAAATGTCAACCATTATTAATCTTCCGTCATAAACTTGTAAAGAAAGTTTTATAAATTTACCATTCATTTTAATATCTTTTACTACTATATCGCAAAGCTTCAACACACATATTTCATTTTTATTTAACACATTATTTGCTTTTTTTAAGTCAATACATTTATCATTTTCAACTTTATTTATGAGACTATAAAAACACAATTTTTCGTTATTTTGCTGACTATGAAAAGTATCACTGGAAGACTTAAAATTGTTAATTCTTAATATTTTTTGTTCTAACAGCAGCATTATTTCATTTTTGTTAGGTAACATTTTAATACCATCTAAAGGTATTTCTACAAAAATTTGACCTACTAAAATGACTCCTAAAAATCTTCTAATACCAGGTTGAGATAGAGCATTTTTAGATTTGTTTAAATCACCAAACATGTACTGAATACAATTGTACAGCTTTAAGTTTTGACTGCTCTTTGCAACATTTTCGACATAACTAAATTTTTCGTTTTTAAATTGAGTGACAATATTTTTGGAGGGAGACGGGAAAGGTTTATTCACCTGAATTGTTAAAGAGCTTTTTTTAAAGTAAATTATACCGCTGTAAAGCGCTGTGTCTGAACGGAAACCTTTAAGTATTTTGGCTATTGGATTATTTTGATTTAACGAGAATATTCCTCTGATCTTCCATGCTTCAGCTTTTAGTGTAAAAAAAGCTGCCCACTGAATACCTGAAAAAGCCGGCAAACAAAAAAGTAAATTTTTTCGCATTTTTTAAGGGGTAAAATTGTGATTTGAAAGAAAAATTTCATTAAACGCAAGTAACATCAAAAGATAATATAAATTGAAATTTTAGTTGTAAAATAGGCTTTATGCTATAAAACTTTGAACTTGTTATAAGTATCAAATATGTGTTTTGATTAAAATAATAATTAATTATTTTTAATATAAAAAAATAATTTCTTTTCTCTTAATCTTAATTATTATAAGAATTAGATAAATGTCAACAAGCTCAAATTCTTTCTGGCTTGATCATTTTATCATAAAACTTTACAGTTTAAATCATATAGAATTTACGTAACTTTGAAATTATGTTGTATGACAGGACTAATTTATTATTTTAATTAATTAAGAAAATATAAAGTTTATTTTTAACAACTATAAATTTACAAACGTAGAGCAGAAATAATTATTTGCAAACTTTAATGTTTAAATATTTTTAAACATTTAAAAGTCTTGCTTTTTGAAATAACTTGCTGTTGTAAAGCTTATACATTAATTTGTTTATAAAAAGGAGTTGGCGAAATTACAAAGTTAAAAATTTTGCATAAATAAACGAATTACAACCTAACAGATTGCCACTTATAATAAAACTATACACATAAATTGACTATAAAATTTAGATAAAAAGTATTTATATTTTTTTTTACATCATGGATGTGTAATTTTAAATTATTAAAACTCTTTATCTTTCTTTACTGATCGGATCAAAAAAACAAAAAAGTTTAATCTATAATTTAATAAAAATAAAAAGATAAAAATAAAATTTAATTAAACATTATTAAGCAATAAAATTTAGCAAAAACAATATTTCACGCAAAGGGAGTTCTTTACTGGTCAATATAGACACTGTTAAAATATTATTATTTAAAATTAATAAAGTAAACTGTAAAGAAATTCTTAAATTAAGAGTAGTTAAAAAACAAACTAAAAGTAATTGTATGTACTAAGAATTGTAAAAGCATATTTTAAATATATTTACAAACTAAATGCATTAAATGCAAAAATTATAAACCTTTAATCTAGCAAGGTTTTTTGAATCATAAAAAAATGGTGAAATTATTACATTTTATTGCAGGGTGTTTTTAAATGCACAAAGGGAGATGACAGATATTGAATTGCTTTTAATTTGTGTGAATTATCACGGATATGTTTTTGATTAATTAAAATCCGTTATTTTGTAAGATATTGGTTCTAACAAATTTTAATAAAAACTATCATATAGTAAATGCTCCCGTTTTTTTATTTTCGATTGTTTTTAAACATATAAATAAAAGTCAATCAAAAAAATGATGTTTCGATTTTTTAGTTAATTATTTTGCATATTAAAACATATTAGAGCTAGGACCTTTTTACGGATACGTTGCTGTATTACTTTATTTAAAATGTAAATTAAGTATTTTAAAAACGTTTAAAGTATTGTACGGTCATGGCCCAAAACTATTACTTCCCAAAATCACCACTTTAAAAAATAATTTTAATATCTTAAAACCAAAAAAGAAATTAAATATTTAATTAAATTGATTTTTTAAACCAAGTAAATAATTCTTCTAAACTTATTAAATTATTATTATAAGAATTCCAAAGCCAATATATTTTACTGTCTTGTTCTATATATACTCTTTTCTCTAGCTTATTTTTTTCCGCCATCAATCAATTTTCTGAGTTCAATATTAGACAGTATTAAGCATTCTTTAAACAGTGCAATACTTCTAGAAAACCGGCGTTATTTTTATTAATCAATTTATTAAGTTTACTATGAAAGCCTTCTGCGGAATTATTAGTTCATCTTCTAAGCGTTCCATAATGTCACCATATTTCTCTTCTATACAAAGGTCTATTATTATTTAACCAGTTATCTTCAATAAACTTAAAAAAATGATCTACTTGTTCATTTTTTACATTATAATAATTTATAATTATATTTCAAGCAGAATCAATATCGTTTACAGGTACTAAAGCAATGCCTGAAAGCATTTCAACAAAATTTCGAAATAAAATATCATTGTTATACAACGTTACAAGTCCGAGTTTTACAATTCTTCTTTACATCGTCTGTCTAAAATAAAAATAGCATCCAGATATACTTGCATCGGAAAAACAATTCTTATAGCATTAAACGCCACCACCTCAATGTCGTTTTAATTTTAACAGGTTTAAAGATTATTTCAAACCAATGTAATTGTTTTTTTAAACTTAAAAAAGCTTTAACATATATTTCCGCTGTTTTATTAGATAAAAAAATATAAACCAGTGGAAAGCTTTGTCCATTAAAATCACTATGAATTATATAAAGCTGAAAAAACTATTCGATGAAGACTTAAAAGCTCCCTCTAAAACCTATTTAAAGTTTCTTGCGTCAGCAAAAGCGACCAATAAAATCTAGATCGCCCATAACTATTATTTTATATACTTCTGGCTCTTTAAAAATTAGAGTATTATGCCCGTTTGGTAAAATAAACTCGCTAAAATTAAAACTCTGTATTGCTTAAAAATCGCCATTTGGTAAAGCTTCTGCTTTTCGTCTATATAAACTGGTTTGCAGTGAAGAGTAGGAAGGTACAAATCCCAGAATAAATTTATCATATGAATAGTTTTTATTCATAAAAATCATTAATGCATCATATAATTTATTTACAGAAATAAACGGGTTTTCTAAAGTTTTGATCTAATAAAAACCTTCATTTGGAACCTAATGATTGTTGTAAGATTATGACTTTGCATATGAGTTCCAGCTTTTTTAACAAGGATGTACTCCCTTGTTACAATCGAAGCACCACACCTCGACTTTAAACACCTCCAAAAGTCATTGTCTTTACGTCCTTTTCTATTTTAACTATAGATAAAAAATCAACTATTGGACGGATGTATCTTTCTGACTAACAATCCAAAAAAATTCTCTCATATAGGATTTAAAATTATTAAAAAAAGTAGTGGTTTTGCGATGCCGCGTTATTGTATAACAAGCACAAACGATAAATAAAGTAAAACACGCTAAAAGATTTACTTACTAAAAACAACATTTTGATTTAAATAAAAAAATTACAACAACGTTTGAAATATAAATCAAAGTGTAATTTTTATTACGATAGGATTTTTTTTATTTTAAGAGTAAAAAATACCAAAATTTATAGCTTTAAAAGCATGATTTATATTATTTAGAAAAATAATAAGCAACTTAATGCATCAGTTTTACTAATTTTTCTAGCAATTTATATGTTTGAAAAACTTAAAAAATTCTAGATTGAGATTAATAGATCGTTTTTATTGTTACAAAACGTAAGAATTCATAAATTATTTTTTTGACAATTAACTTTAAGAAATAAAAAGCACAAAATTAAAACAATAATCATTCTTTCCAACTAAAAAGTGTTTTATAAAAATTCATTTAATTTTTTTATTTACAAAATATTGTAGTATTTATTTTTAGTCTTTTGCACAACAAACAAATTGTAGGCGGTAGAATAAAAGAAACGACCAAATAAATAATCATAATTAAATGACACAATTCATTTTTAAATTCAATTAACTGTTTTAAGATAAGCACTAAAATATTTGTTAATAAAAAGTTGCTCATCATGTTTCTACTTACAAAATTTAATGACAAATATTGCTTGAATGATGAGAAGTAAGAGACAACTATATAAATCAGTAAATGAAAGGTGTGTAAATATGCTATCTGAAAGATGTATGTACAGTTACCCAGTCTTCTACTTGGTAATTCATAAAATAAAAATAGCTTATAAATTACAAAAAAAATTAAACTTAATTTAGATAAATGAATTATTTTATATTTTATGTTTTGAGTTGAAGTTTGTCGATTTACAAAGCTAGGCGAATTGGTTTTTATAGTACTGTCTTGCTTTTTACAATCTGTACAGTTAATAAATTTGCATGGTGAAACAGTCTGTTCAAAATTTGTTTCTATTTTCAATTCTTCAGTAAAAGGATAGAATAGGATGCGACTTACATCTTGTAGTATCATTAACAAACAGAGATATGGAATAATTGCAAAAAAAGATTCCTTGTTTTGATAAATAAATCCCGTTCTGTTATTGTTTAGAATAAATTTATCGATCTGATAGTATCTGGTTACAAAATGAAAAATCAATATAAGTAAATATCCCAATTTATTATATGGAAATAATTTATATAATACTTGTAGTATAGACAATAAAAAATAAAAATTTGAATGTTTCCCATATTCTGTAATTTCCACATCTAAATTAAATATTAGTATAGTTATATATCTTATAAATCCCAATAAAAATAATAAAATTATACTTCTATTATTATTCACAATATTTAACAATTGTCTCTTTTTTAGAGGACAAGATCGTTTCAAATAAGAATCTTTATTAATCATTAAACCGTTATTGTACAAATAAGACCCTATACCTACATCCATAAGCTTATATCCATAATCAATAGTTTTTCCAAATCTTAATGGAAACATACCAGTAAAATCCACACCTAAAATACAAATGGCCACTTGACAAGATATAAAAGATCTTAATATTCTTATAATTGCTGTATTTAGTTCTTTATTACTTATTGAATTACTAGTTGGTCTAATTTTATTAAAATCTAATACTAAAAATAAAAAAATAATAAGATTCCATTTTTGATCGGGATACATGATAATAAAATATTGTGGACATATCCAAAATAAAAAATCTAGTATAAGATTGTTATAAGGCAGGGTATTATAAACAAGAAGAGAGAAATTTGAAATTCCGCTTACAATTAAAATTTCTGATTCTGTTGAAAATTCCATGGGGTAAAATTTTTTAAACTACCAAATATAAATTTTGCTCTATTTTCTTAAAAATTTTAATTATTTAAGCGCTTAAAAATTGGTGCACAATTTATTTCAACTTTTTATACAATATTTAGGTCTGTTTAACTTTTTTAAAAACTTTTTAATTGCAATTGTTGATTTTTATACATTTCAAATTTAAAATAGTTTACAAAAAGATTTTATTGTTTATACAAATTTTTATAATGTTCATAGATTATGTATTGTATTATAAAAAAGAACAAAATATCAATAATTTTACTTGTACTTACATTAAATGTAAGTACAAATATAACCTTATGACCCTTTTTAAAAGATTGTTTTTTTTAAATATTGTTTCAAATTGAAGAATAATACACCTGTAAATTTGTAAACAAATGATTGAAGAAAGGACATTTAATTTTATAAACCTTTTAAAATTTGCACAAAACAGATTTTCTGATCAAGACAATAAAAATCATAAAATTTGTAATGATAACGTAATTTATATTGTAAGAGATATTAATTTCAAGCAATTACTAGCCTTTTCTATTAAACATGAAAAAATTATTGTTGGAAGAATTAATAAAAGTCGACCATACAAAATTTACAAGCCAATAAATTCAAATTAAACATCATTATTCAAATAAACAATTCAAATTAATTTGTGTAAAAAATTGGCTTACAATCAAGGCCTAATTTATAACAGCCTTTTATGTAAATCGTACACCGCTTACTGTGTTATGTGTCAACTTTTGTTTTATAACGTATTTTTTAAAAAATCATAAAAATTTTTATATTAATAAATGTATAACAACACTTTAATATGTTTTTTCTTTATCAAAAGATTTATTACTAATGAAATTTCAATAATAATAAAAAACGAACTTTTAGTGATTATAAAGTGATAAATGGCATAAGTCTTATATATTTGTGAGACAATTTCTGATTCTTCTGATAATTCTAGTACAAGTTTTTTATCAATTTAAGGGCAGCCTAAAGTATACTTCATAAAAAGTATTCATTACAAAAATCGACTTAATTATAAATGCAATTAAATCTTCTTTACAATAATATAACTGTTATTAATTAATCTTAAAATGCCAACTTAAGTAGATTTATAAAATTTCAAACTGCCGCCACATTTTATAGTCTGTAATAGCAGCTAGTTAAATCGTTATCTTAATTTGCAAAATTTATCTTTTGATCTGTTTTTATTTAAATAAAGACATTTTAAGTAATTTTTATTTTATATACTTAAAATATTATCCCTTTATGTCTGCTAGCTCATCTTTAGTGTATTTCCATACATTTCGCACAAATGTAAAAGAAAGGTGGAAAAACAAATCACTTGTTGATGTATTAGAATATGAATTTAGAACACGAACAAGAGAATATTATATTGAAGCAATTGAATGTGGTGTAATAACTGTCAATGATATTATTGTCAAGCCATCATATAAATTACAGTTAGTCGATTATATAAAACATACAGTGCATATGCACGAACCTATAGCACCCGCAATAAACACGATTTCGATGGAAAATGATTATTGTGTCGTATATAAACCGGCAGGGGTACCTTGTCACCCCACTGGTGGATATCTTGAATATTCAGTTACAAGAAAGCTTTTTGGAGATAAAAAAGTGGCTTGCGTTAATCGTCTCGATATACCAGTTTCGGGTGTTTTAATTATAGCATTTGACGATTTTAAAAACACTATGATGAAAATTTCTAATGCCGTAAAAATTTACATTGCAAAAGTCAAAGGAGATTTTCCTGATTTTGTAAATTGCATTAAAAAAATTTACTGTGAAGAAGGTAGAAGAAGGTTTATCGACGAAAGGGGAAAAGAATGCCAAACATTGTTTCGAAAAATAAAGTTTGTAGATGGATATAGTTTTGTTGAGTGCAGACCGATCACAGGTAGAACGCATCAAATTAGAATTCATCTGCAGAGTCTTGGATTTCCAATCGTAAATGATATCATTTATGGTGAATCAAAGAGAGAAAATTTTGTTTTTGTGAAAAATTGCAACGTTAAAAATGACGGAGATAAAAAAATCAATTGTATATTAAAACATTGTAAAGGAGAAAATAATAGAAGCTTTTTATCGCAAGAAAATTTTATTTGCCTTCACGCTTGGAAATACAAATTTAACGAAAAATGGTATGAAGCAAAATTGCCAGAATGGGCACAAACAAAACTTTAGCACAAGTCTTTTAGTTTAAAAATAATATCAACAATACTTTTATTTGATTTGCTTTCTTCCTGCATGGGTCAGAAAATTATTAAAAATGTATGCAATAAAATATTATTGTTCCTTCACAAATAACGTTTTTGAACTTCTTTGCTAATGATATTTTCTAATTTTTTACGAATTTAAATTTTTATAAAGTTTGCAAATATCAGCAATATTTGTTTATTTTGATATACCTAAGTAATTGACATTTTTTACAAATAGTTTTGATATAAAGCAATAAACCATTCTTACTTACACACAATAATAATTTATGTATATGTACGCCGTACATATGGCAGATTTTTTGATTTACATCAATAAACTCAAGACATTTTATTTTCTTTACATTTTTATAAAATTTTTACCCTTAAATATGAAGCTCAACATTGCTCATCCAACTAACGGTACACAAAAAATGTATGAAATTGAACATAAAGCTGAATTAAAATTGTACGGACGAAAAGTGGGTGACCAGTTTAATGGTGAATTGATTGATGAAAAATTTACTGGTTATGTATTTGAGATTACTGGCGGGGATGATGCACAAGGTTTTCCTATGTCAAGGAAATATTTGACACCCAACCGTGTCAGACCACTTTTAAAGAAAGGCGATGTAGGTTATAGATGCAGAAGAAGGGGTGTTAGAAAGAGAAAAAGTGTTAGAGGTGCTATTGTATCTGAAGATATAAATGTTCTATCACTTATTATTATAAGAGTAGGAGAACAGGAATTAGATGGACTTACTAATGTTATTAAGCCCAAGACTCACTTACCTAAAAGGGATGAAAAATTAATTAAGTTATTTAATATCCCTGAAGGTGCTGATATAGTATCTTTTGTCAAAGATTTTCTTACTAAAAGCGCAGGCACTGAGGACTTTAAGATGCCTACTATTAAACCGACCGGACATATTCATGCTGCCAGGAGAGCCAAAATAGAAGCATCAAAAAATGCCCATGCTGAGAAAAAAGCTAGAAATGAAGAATTAAGGCAAAATTATATGAAGACTTATAATATACAACTTAATTAAAGATATTTATTTTTATATTCTTCTATTTCATTAGTTATTTTATCATTCATGGCTTGTATCTCATTGTTTATAAATTCACTTATTAGCTCTTTTACTGTTTTAAAAGGAAAATAAGACACATAATGATTTTCTAAAATCGTCCTAAAAATATCTTTTATGTCCAAAGATAGATAGAGTGTTTTAGACAAATATAGATCTATAATATCGTTATATTCGCCACTAATAAGTCTAATAAAAAAGAATTCTGAAGATTTTTTTAGGCTAAGTTTGTATTTCTTTGTCACTGTACAGTTATGTAATGTATCAATTGATCCACATTTGTAACAAAATTCAAAAGGCATGCCATCTTTTAAATCGTATCTTATAAATGAAGGTTTATTGTTTAGTGCAAGTTTATGAGGAGAAAATAAAATGCAATCTTTTTTATGCGAATAGTGTTCTAAAATAGGCACGTCCGATTTCTCCCATCCTTCTAAATGTTTTTTACAATAAACACACATTGCTGCTAAATTTGAAGATGTAGACTTACAAATGTAACCACATATGGCCATTAATTGTGGATTACTTTTATAATCTTTGGTAGGCCATTTTTTATTAATAAAGGTTTTGAGTCTTTGCTCGTATGAAAACATTAAGGGAGGAAGAAAATAGAAAAGTAGTATAAAATTAACAGATGATAAATTTAACAGTAAAAATTGTCAATTGAGAAATTTTTATTTAAATAGATAATACAACAGGACAAACTTCTTATATTAAAAAAATTACATTTCACCTTTACATTTTATATTTACCCACAAGCCAAACTAAATTATTAGCACAGAACGCAGTTAAAATAGTACTTTAATAAAGCATTTATATTTAAAAATCACCAACGTCATAATTAAATTCTGGATAGTATCCCGCTATTATAGTTTTTTGTTCAAATGCTAGTCCACCAAGAGATTGATAAACATCTACACCCTCTTTTAAATTTTTACATTTGATAAAAATTTTACAACTAGCAGTTTTTATTTCTAATAAATAATTTGGAAATCTAGAAATAATAAAATCATATGGTACATCATCACAAAGTAAAAAAACGACACGTGTAGGAATAAAAGAACTTACAAAAGGTATATTAAAAATTTGCGGTATATTTGTTATTAGACAATTCTCATAAGCAAATTTTATCTTAAAGTTTTTATTATTTAATATTTGTATCTGTGACAAAACATCAACTATTTCTTTAGCTATTGTTTGATTTTTAAACAATAAAGTAAAATATTTTGCATTAGCACATTGGCACATTCCAAAAAGTGGAGAGATGTCATTTAAAGCCATTTTTAAAGTATTTATAAATGTTATCTTATTTTGTTTACTATTATCTTCAGAAAGATATTCAAAAGGACCAATTACTATTTTATAATAGTCAATTGGAATATTTGTATTGTGTATTCCAAATACAGAAATATTTCTTTTTAAGCAAATTTCTTTTAATTTACTCAAAGGAGTAAATATAATTTTTTTTGTAAATTTGAAATTAACATTGGATAATACTGTACATATATCTGCGTCTAAAATTGTTTTAAAGGTTATACTATAAAAACCGTCATAGTATATGTCTTCAAAATCTCCAATAGTTTTTATAAAATCAACTAACTGTAACTTACTACATTTTGTTTTACAATAAACGATTTTACTACCGTAAACTAAATCAAGATTAGGAAGATTAAGCAAGACACTTTCTTCGGTAATATTTTTTACGTACTTAATCTTAGATTGTAAAATGTGTTCAATAAATTCATAAGGTAAGTCTTTTCTAAAATCGTATTGCATCCTTTTCCTCGTATTTTAAAGGGCAATTGCGTTTTTGTTTTAATGATTTTTGAACAATAAGGGAAAATTAAGATGAAATTACTAAGGCAACGTGGCCGAGTGGTTAAGGCGTTGGATTAGAAATCCAGTGGGCTTGCCCGCACAGGTTCGAATCCTGTCGTTGTCGTTTTTAAAACTGCATATTTAAAAAATGGTATTTTCATTTAAATAATATTTTTTTCTTTTTGTTATGACATTGACCGTGTCTTTGTTTTGATCTTATTTCTTTTATCAAATCACCCTTAACATAAATATTTTTGGCAGTTCTTATTAGGTTTGCAAAATACAAACTTAATATTTTTTATTATACCCCTAAAAGAAATTATTTATGTTATCTACTTAGTTAATTCTCATTAAATAATATTTAATTTATACAAAAAGAATAAAATATTTTAATTTTTTTACAAGTAGAATTCTTTATCAATACAATTTGATAAGTCAATCAAACCTATAATAAAATTTTTAGAAACTTATTTATCAATACAACAAATTATTCTGTTTATTTGTTTAAAAAAATATAAATTTTTCAATTTTTTTATAAAAATGTCAATAAAAAAAATTTTCGATCAAGAAAAAGACAGGATTAAAAATTTTGGCCGAGAAATAAAACTAAAAGATGAATCAATATATTTTGATTTTTCTAAAACACATGTTACAAAAGAAATTAAAGAAAAGTATTTTTCAAAATTTAATAATCTTGATATTTATAAAAAAATTAATGATATGTTTAATGGAGAGAAAATAAATTATACTGAAAACAGAGAAGTGCTTCATACATTATTAAGAAATAAAAAGATTATTAGTGCTTTACATAATAAAAATTCATCTGGTCTGAATGAAAAAGAAGAATTAGTTTATGATGAACTTTGCAAAATGAAAAAATTTGCTGACCAAATAAAAAATAAGAAAATAACTGGATGTACTGGTCAGCCAATAGACACAATTATAAACATAGGAATAGGAGGTAGTGACTTGGGGCCAAAGATGGTATGCGAAGCTTTAGAATATTATGCACAAAAGAATATAAATGTACATTTTATCTCAAATATTGACGCAACTGCTACTTTAAAGGTGTTTAATCTTATAAATCCTAATACGTCTTTATTTATTATTTGTAGTAAAACATTTACTACATTGGAAACAATAAAGAATATGGATTTAGCTTACAAGCTACTAGAAAGGAAATTAAATTTAAACAAAAATTTTACAAAAGAGGAAATTTTTAATAAACATTTTGTAGCTGTCAGCTCAAATGTACCAGAAGTTAGAAAATATAATATTCATAATATTTTTGCAATGTGGGACTTTGTAGGTGGAAGGTATTCTTTATGGTCAGCAGTTGGTTTATCTATTGCTTGTTATATTGGTTTTGACAATTTTTTAGATTTACTTGAAGGTGCATCGATTGTCGATAATAAATTCCGAAACAATAAAAATTGTGACAATGTCGAAATTTTTCATGCCATTATCGAATTATTTTATTCAGAAAACGGATACAATAATAAATGCATAGTAAGCTATGATCAATATATGGAAAAATTTTATTTATATCTTCAACAAGCTGAAATGGAAAGTAATGGTAAATATTCTGAAGAACTTGATACTGGAATGATAATTTGGGGAGGAATTGGCACAGATACACAGCATTCATTCTTTCAATTATTGCATCAAGGTACAAGAAAAATACTAACTGAATTTTTATTCCCATTTAAGCCACTCCATAGAGAATTAAATCACCACCAGATGTTATTAAGTAATTGTTTCGCTCAATCTAAATCTCTTATGGAAGGTAAAGATGGTAAAAAAGGAGTAGATTTTTTTGAAGGAAATAAACCATCCATAACAATTGGATACTCAAAATTATGTCCTTTAGTCTTAGGAGGAATTATAGCGCACTATGAACATAAAATTTTTGTACAAGGAATATTTTTAAAAATAAATTCATTTGATCAATTTGGTGTAACGCTTGGTAAATCAATCGCAACAGAATTGTTAAAAACAATGGAGGGAGACAATAATCAAATTTATGATGCAAGTACAAATGAACTGATAAAAAGATGCCAATAAAGTGCTTTACTATTCTTTCTTCTTTTTTATCTTTACAAATTAATCTAGTCCAACAGATTGTAAATTTTGACAATCCAGCAATAAATATAATTTATGTTATGTACTTTATTAAATATTAATAATATACAATTTTTAAAAATATTGTTTTTACCTAATTTATTGCTTTTAGTTTTTTTTTGCAAAATAAATTTCTTTTTTTTAAAACAAAATACAACTTTATTTTTATTTATTGCTTGGTTGTGTTTTATGCATAAAATTATAAATAAAAAAAATATTATATCCTTATAGCATGAATGAGAAAAATATTGAAGAAATTAAAAATATTCCATTTGACAATATGGTTCTTGATGCAGAAGAAGTTATTGCAAGAAGTGAAAAAGGACTTCCAGTTTATACTGAACAACCTGTTCAAGTGTCTTCTGATGAATTAAGAGGTACAAGTCGATACAAAAAATTGGGAATTTTGTTAGGCGAAGGAGGATTTAAAAAAGTGTACAAAGCTGTTGACCAAATAGAAGGCAAAGAAGTTGCATGGAACGAAGTTAAAATTTCACAGAATGAATACGAAAACAAAGAAAATAATAATTTTAGCAAAGAAATTTTATTGCTTAAAAAAATTAAGCATCCTTCAATTTTAGCGATTTTAGACTATTGGTTTTCAAAAGACAATTTTATTTTCATTACTGAGATTATGTCTGGAGGGACACTAAGAGAATATATTGGGAAAATAGGAGAAGTAAATATTAAAATTATTAAGAAATGGGCTAAACAGATTTTAGAAGGGTTAAATTATTTACATTCACAAAATCCACCAGTGATACACAGAGATATTAAATGTGAGAATATTTTTGTTGATTCTTCGAATGGAGAAGTAAAGATTGGTGATCTTGGTGTTGCGAAAGAAAGACGACTTAAGAGATACACTGTGGTAGGTACACCACAATTTATGGCTAGAGAAATGTTTGAAGGTGATGGATACAATGAAAAAGTAGATATTTATGCATTTGGAATGTGTCTTATAGAAATGGCTACAGGAGGATATCCTTACAAGGAATGTGATGATTCTACAGATGTTTACAGATATATTTTACAAGGTGTTCCTCCCGCAGCACTTTACAATATTAAGGATCCTTGTTTAAAAAATCTTATTTTAAGATGTCTTGTACTGGAAAAAGACAGACTGGATGCCCGCACTGCCTTGTGTCATCATTTTCTTGATTTAAGTTTTGAATGTTCAGGAGATTGCATACCCAAAGAATCAATTTTGGTAAAACCGCTTACTGAACCTGGCAATGATATGGAAATTTCATTGTTAGGTTATGAAGGAGACGTAATAACTTTTCAGCTCTTTTTTATGTGTGAGGCTAAATTTATTAAATTCGATTATAATATAAAAGAAGACACTGTTAAAAATTTGGCACGTGAAATGTTAGAAGAAAATGTGGTAGATTACACTAAAAAAGATGTTTTATTAAATATGCTTACTCGTGGAGTAGAGCGTGCCATACAGCGAAAAGAAAATGAATCTAAAGAAGTCGAATTTCAAATGCAAATGAATGTGAATTCTGTAGAATTGGAACTTAGTAATTTAAAGGTCATTGATGAAGAATCTTCACTTATTGAAGATTCTTTAAAAATGCCTTGCAATATTAAAGATTCTGTAGATGTTACGAATAAATTGATTTCTTCCGATCTCCTTGTTGACGAGGTCATTGCAGCTAAAGAAACGCCCTCTTCACAAAATGTTTCAACTGCTGAGGAATTGACATGTAAAACTATGGTTTATCCAAACAAGAAATATGAAGTAAATGTTTTTATTGAAGAATTTGCAAGTGATGTGGCTGAAATTACTCGTAGATCGCAAGAGTCTGCAAATAATTGGATAAAGATTCTTAGAAGTAATGATATTTTTAATACCACTGATCTTAAAGTTTTGGTAGATGAAGATTGGGATAAGTTAGGACTTTCTGTTTTTATTACTAGAGCTATGAAGAATATGTTGTACGGACTTGATCAACATCCTCTTAAAGAGAAGCATTTACCTGACAATGCTAACATTAAACTTTACGATGCGGATGTTACGATTTGTGACTTTTTAAAAGAAATTACTGAAATGTGTAATAAAAAGGAATGTTTGTCTGTTTGGGAGAATAAATTATTAGCACAAGATATTCGGACTGTCGAAGAACTTAAATCTCTTCATCAAGAAGATTGGGACAGACTAGGATTATCAATATTTTCTTATAGAGTGATGAAGAATATAATATTTAGAAAAGGGAAAATAATGTAAGAATTATGCACATAATAAATCATTTTATTTTTGATTTTTTAGTAAAGCTTTTTTCTTTGTATTCTTGTGCATTGTTTAAACAAACTTGTTTTAATTTATTTTTTATAAAAAGTTTTAAACATTATGCACCATAAATTATTTATGTTTAGAATTAAACTAGAAAAAATCACTGTTCAAAATATTGATTTAGTAAAAAAAATGAATGAATCTTTATTTCCCATTGAATACTCGCACACCTTTTATAAATACATTCTAGACACCACTTGTACAAAAGGGTTTTTTTTCATATTTAGAGACTGTAAAATAGGCGTATGTACATTTTCAATTAGAGGAACATTACACAATAAATCAATAAACGAGTGTTACATAATGACATTTGGCATTTTAGACAAATATAGAAATTTAGGATTTGGTAGTAAATGCATAGCTTTATTAGAAAATTATGCTGTAGAGAATTACAATGTTAAGTCTTTTAAGCTTCATGTCCACACAAGCAATTTTAAGGGGATAAATTTCTATAAAAAGAATTTTTATAAAATAACAGAACTAGAAATGAATTATTATAAAAATATTGAACCATGCTCGGCTTATTTATTTGTAAAAATTTTGTGATATAATTTATTAATTAATTTTAAAAACCAATTATTTTTTCTAAAAACAATTAAAATAATTTTTTCCTTTTTTTTATGGGCAGACGGTTTGATATTATTCAGACACCAAAAGATTTTAATCATACAGATTTACCAAGCGAAATAACTATTAGCAAGCCATTTAAAATTAACCAGGACACTTATGTATGTGAAAAAACCAGTGTAGACGGATTTAAAATTTACAATGAGAAAGAGGACTGTGGGACAAATAAGCACTATTATGTTATTAGAAAGTTGTAGAAGAGTTTATTAAAAAATTATATTTACATTTTTTTATTTTTTATTACCCATGTTATTTAGTTTAAAGCACGAAGAGAAAAAATATTGTACTAAAGAAGATATAACTCCAGTTATTGTACAACTAACCAGAAGTATTGATACAATACAAGAACTAGATTTTACTTCTAATGTATTTAAGCCTGAAGCAGTGGTAGAATTATGCAAGTGTATTAGAAAAATGAAAAATCTTAAAAATATTATATTAGAAGGAATTTTTGCCACTTTAAGTAAAAGTGAGATGGAAACGTGTTTTAAAGACATTTGTTCTTCTTTAAAAGACAAAAAACTGATTTTACTTGACTTAAGCAATAATGCGCTCTCTTCTGATTTACCCGAAGAATTTACTGATTTATTAAGCAATTTAAATACATTAAAATTTCTTAAAATACGAAATTGTGGACTTGGCTACAAAGGAGGAAATATAATAGGAGAGTGTTTAGATAAATTAACAGATAAGAATAACTTTGAATATTTAGATATCGCACAAAATAGATTTTTTAATTTTCCTGAAAAGTTGTGTGAAGGTATTAGCAATTTTAAGAGACTTTCTGTACTGAGACTTGAATACAACACTATTGAAAAGATTTCTATGACACAGGCACTAAAAGTTATAAAAGATCTTCCACTCGAGGTGTTAGACATAAGAGATAATTTTTTAGATGTAGAAGGATGTAAATTATTAGGGGAGATATTTGCTACGTGTAACATAAGAGAATTAGTTATGGGGGACTGTATGACATATTCTGAAGGAATGCTTGAATTTATAAAATATGCTAATAATAAATTTGTGTCTATGGGACTACCAGGGGATTGTACAGATTTTGTAGAGTGTGTATTGGATGTTAGTTATAATGATTGGGAACAAGAATGCATTGAAGATCTTATACATTTTTGTAAAAAATATTTTATTAAGAAATTATTTATTACAGGAAATTTGTATGATGACTCAAGTGAATTAATGAAGGCTATGCATAAATATGGAGGAGAATTAATTTACAATGAATTAGAAGCAGAGCAGGATTTAAAGAGTGAATTTGATGATGCTCTTATCGAGAAACTCGAATTTTTATAAATTATTTATATTTTATTTTTTTTAAATCTAAATTTTTAAAGATACAAAATTTATGCAATATAATTATTAAATTTTTAGTCGTGTGTTAAAAACTTTTCTAGGTAAAATTTATAATTTTAACTATTAAGTAATAAATAAGGATAGATTTGTTACTTAAAGTGTGTTACAAGAAAACATAAGTTTATTTAAAAAAAACATTTTAAATGGTAACACCAAGGTGCTAAAAATTACCTTTACCATCTGTGTCTAGACGTAAAATTTGGCGTTGTCAAGAAAGGAATTTTGAATTTAATCAAAAAGCTACAGGAAAGTATGATCCTAATTAAGGGGTCAATTGTCCTTATTTATATCAATTTAAGAATTAAGAAAGTTACCATATCCAGAAGAATATTTAGTTACTAAATGTCAACTATCTCACGATAATGCTCAGCAAGATATTTGACATTACAAGCGATAGCTAACATTATAAAGAGTAAAGTGTTATTTCTGTACAATTAAAAACTTTACATTTTGACATATTTGGTAGAATTAGTTTAATTTTAGTGCCATATTTCTTTTTATAAAATATTTAGTTATGTCTTAATTTTACGCTATAAAGCATTATTTGAATAAAACAGTATTTTAATTTGTTTTATTGGTAACAACATAAGATTTTAAAACTAAAATGAAACAAACCTTAATTTTAATAAAAAAATGCATAAAAATAGCATGGCTTGAAAATTAAAAGGTAAAAATAATATTAGTGTAGTTAACTGCATTATCGCTTTTCTATAATTTAACTTTGTTGTGTGCGTACGGTGTAAAACATAAACTTAATATGGAATTTTTTGACAAGTAAATTTTTGATTAACCAAATATGGTTTGTAAAAATTTGATATTCTCGTTTAACGTAAATTTGTCCTTTTTTATTAATGAAATGCTAAAAATTTATCAAACAGAAATTTCTACATTTAAAATAAGTAAATGATTATTTTTTTACTTTCTTAAGTTAATGCAATTTATACTTTTTAATCTTTATAAAATATTTTAAGAAAATCAAAAGTTAGATAAATGCCTACAATTTTCAAATCTATAATAAAATAAATATATTTAGATTATTTGCTATGTTATTAAATCTTACGTAAAAAATTTTAACATTAAATTGTACCCAAATATCTTAATGAAATATTTTTAAAATTTTATTAAGGATTAATTAAAGGTTGAGATTACAAAAAATAATAAGCTTATTGTGTTACAATAATACGTGTAAACCTTAAACTAAAAAAAAATTAGTGATATATAATTATTTTCTTTAATTTTTTAAATAACTTTGTATTTTATCGCTTTTAATTAATAAAAATAATTTTTACTAAGCACTTATAGGTACAAATGATATAATACGCCTTATAATTTTACTTAAAAGGAGATCTCCTTTCTCTCCTTTTAATTACAAAAGCAAAAAAAAAATTTACAAAGGATATGAATTCAGGTGATAAAAAAAAATATCAACAGAAGACAGGCATGATCGATGTAAGTGACACAAAAGAAACAATTCAATCAGATGAATCTTTTAATAGTGACCTTAATAATATTAAAGATAACTGTGAAAACTTTTTTAATATCGATAAGCACAATACTAACGAAACAAATGTTTCTAATCAACAGAAATATAATAAGAACATGATTCGCTATGGATTTCAACCTTATTCATATAACCCATACCTAAGAATTAGTCATCCAGACCTATTAATTCATAAAAGACCTGTATCTCCTGTACTTAATCCACGAACTCAACACGTTGTTTATAAAAAAACTGCTTTAGACTATTTAAGTGAAATTGCTGAACAAGAAAATGAAAGAATTAATAAAAAAAATTATGAAAAAAACAGCTTTAGTTCTGACAATATATATGTAGAACAGCTGAAGGAACTAAGAAGGCGTCGAAGAGATAGACGGCGGAATTTAGACAGGCTAGAAAGTGATTTGGATTATTCTAATCACGAACTGATGTATAATACATCTCCCGCCGTCTTTAATAGAAAAAGGCGTGAACATAGAAAAAAGGCACCACGTAAAAGTATTGTGCTAATTGATTCGTTGTCAAATGAAGAAGAGGCTATCGAAAGTTTTGCCGACTTCCCCGACTCTATGTTTGCGTCAAAGACAAAGAACAATACTAGGGTGTTTTGCTGCGCAAATAAGGAATGCGAAGTAGAACTACCCTCGTTGAGTCGAATCAAGCGTCACTATCTGGTTCATACAAGCTTAAAGCCATTTAAGTGTTTGAACCAAAAATGCGACAAAAGATTCTCTAGGAAGGATAATATGTTACAACATTTTAGAACTCATTGTAAAAATAAAAAGAAAAAAGAATCATATTAAGCAGTTGTAAAATACCATATTAAACATTTTTTGGATATTTTTTTTTAATTTATTCCCAATAAGGTAAGTTTCGCCTTTTTAAGGTTCTACGTTTAAATTAAATATTTTTAAGTTTTTTAAATGAATTTTAAAGTTTTAAGAAATTTACAAAGTCATACAATAAAATATAAGAATAAGTAAGAAAATTGACATGAGATATTTTAGAACATTATTTTACTAATATTTACATAATTATTATAGTGTTAACGTATATAAGTTAGAAAGACAATTAAAATACCTTAAACATTTTACAAATTACAAATATTAATATAACTGTAATTTTTACATTTTACAAAGTATAACAAAATAATAAAATAATTTTTTTAGATTTTTAGTAGATTTTATTGACATAGTAAAAATTATGAAATTTAATTATAGAAATGAGAAATAAGATTTAAACTAATTAATACTTTTATTTAGTTTGTTTTACAATTTTACAAATTTACACAACTTTTTTAAAAATTATAAACGTATAAATAAGTAATAACATTTTGTTAAACATTTAATACAAAATATTTTTAAATGCTGGTACAGCCAAAGCACTTTTTTAATAGATTTCAAATTTTAATTAAATAAATAGTAAATTGATCTGGCATGATGTAAAATAAATTTCTTAAATTTTTAACTAATCGAAAGTTTTATAAGGTTAAATATGTTAAAATGTTCTGCTTGTGGGAGTAACAATTTTCTATTGATAGTTAAAGCATCTCATTAGGATATCTTTTATAAATTAAAATTTTTTACAAATATTTATTTTACGTTCTTTTTAATCCAAAAAATTTAATGACCAGTGCGAAGAAGACGGATAAAAATAAAAAAAGAAAATCTAAGAAGCATAGTAGAATACCTAAGAAATTTTTAGGAAATATTAAAAGTTTCGAAGAATTTGCTCTTTATTACAAGAACAGGAATGTTGCGCAAAAAAGCCTTAAAGCTAAGAAAAGCAATAGTTCTATAAAGAAAGATGTAGATGGAAGGATATACAAGACTATTAACCCCAGTTCTATCTGTATTGAACAAAAAAGTTCTCTTAATATATTGTCAGAACAAGCTTATTTAGACTTCTATCTCAACAATGCTAATGACTGTCCTATTGAACGTGCTTGTCCTTATAAGAAACTTGATGAAGAAGAAGTGTGTAATGTATGTTTCAGTATAACGTATTGTCGTTGCAACTTAAATTAAAGCATAATTAAGAAGTAGTTTTATATTTCTTTCACGTTTTATAAAAAAAAACCAATTTATATTAAATTTGCGAAAAAATAAAAAATCAAGATTTCTTCGTGCAAAAATATTGTCAGTTATTTATAAAGCATAACATAAATCTTAGTATTTAAATTAATAAATTTTAAAAAACAAACAAACTTGTGATAAATTTAATAAATCTTATTATTTTTTACAAAATAATAATAAAAAGGCAGCAAATTTTTATATTAAAATACAGATTTAATTTACATACTATTTTTAATCTATTATTTCAAAGAGTGTATTTTTTTGTGCAATAGTCTTAAAATTCAATATAAATTCTTTCATAAATTCTACCAACAATGAAACTTCTGCCAAGGAGAAATCTTGTACATTTTTAAGTAATAAGTTAGGCATTATAACCGTTGATATTCCTGCCATATCCATATTATTTGTATAATCTGACCCGTCTACTGTTGCTATGTCGTGAATCAGGTACAAAAAAAATATTGTAGCTTCTAAAATATGTCTGTTGAATTTAGGTAAAGAAATATATAAATAGTGATAAAGAATTAATCTATCCTCCTGTTTATCTACAGAGAATAATTTTATAATTATTGGTAAAAAACCTTCTGGTATTACTGAATGTTTATAGTTTCTTAGAATTTCTTTAAAGGCTGTGGTCAAGTCAATAACATTAAAGCTTTCAGCCAATTTATCTCTAATATCTTTAAATGATGATCTATTATATATCTCTCTTTCTAACATATCTACACATTCTTTCACTGTAATCATTGAATTTCTAACTCTAAATAATCCTCCTATTCTTACATCTAAAGATAATATTGTTTCAGTTAATGTATAAAAATCAATAGGAACTAAAACATGTTTATTACCATATTTCAGATTTGATGAGATCCACAAGCGGGAATCATTTCTTAATATTTTGTCTATCGGGAAAAATATTCTTCCTAGAAATGTCTGATTAAGTCTACATATCTCCCAGTAATTACAATACTTTTCTATAATAAAAGAATGTACTGAACAAAAGTTTTTTTTATATTCTATAAATTCTCTGTCATCTAAATCGTTTACTGTTTCCATTTTTTCTGTGTTCATTTTATTTTTTAAGATTTCCTCCATTACTTTTGTTATGTTTATTTTATTTTTAATAAATAAATCTGTAAATAAATATATAGAAAATCAAAAAAAATAGTAGTAAATAAAAGGATTTATCATATTATTTATTAGTTTAAGTGGTTTAGTAACCTGAATTTGTAGAAATAAATTTTATAAATTTGTTATTTATCTAATGATTTATGCACATATTGATACTAATTACATTTAAAAGGTAAAGTTTTATAAATTATTTGCTATTTAAAATATAAAAAATTAATAAATCAGGTTGTTATGTAAAGATTTAAAACATAAATTAAAACACACTATTTATAAACCAATTATAGATTTATTTATTCAAAATTATTAAATAGTGAACATGTCAAATCTATAATTTATGTATAGCATTATATTAAAACATTTCACTCTGCTATTTATAGGTCCATTTACTTGTAAATATTTCAATATTTTATATTAAAATGATGTAGACTGACAAATAAAAACAAACAAGAGTTTTGAGATTAAAACATTTTATATTATTTTTATAATGTAAGAATAAAACATGTATAGATTAAAAAATAATATATTATAGAAAGAAATACAAGACCTATTATAAATACTGGGATGTCTTTGTGCAAAACGCATAACATTAAGCAAATATTATTTTCATATAAATGGTACTGGCATGTCTTTGTGCTAAATGCACCACACTAAGCTTTATTATGCGTGTATTATTTTTAAATATAAAATACTTGTAATCATGTATTTTTGTTTATAAATAATATTACAACACTACAAACACTTAACAATAACATCTAAATACATACACTTTGTATATTTCTCTATCCTTCCCGATTATGTACATTTATAAACTCTACCATTTCTTTTACTGTATTTTTATTAAATTTTAGATTAAATTTACACACCAATTTGTTTATATTTTCTTCATTAATTTCCATATCTAAAATATCTTCTTTACAAAATTTATATTCTGCTCTAAAAATATTGTAAATTATTTTTTCTTGTTGTGTTAAAAATCCTTTATTTCCTGTATCAAATAATTTATGATATTCATCATTTTCTTTAAATTTTTTCTTCATTTTTTAGGGCATGAAAAGACTTACAAAAAGTAAGGAGTTAGAGGAAAATAAAAAAAAGGAGAGGGAGTTTAAAGAAATTACATCCCAATTTATTCAACAAGAAAGACAGAAAATGGAAGAAAGAATAAGTGATAGCCTTGATAAAATGTTTGATGATGAAGTAAAGGAAATAAAAATTTATAAAGAATTTGACACCGATTTTCAATACAAAAATCCATTTAAAATCAATAATACAAATGTTGAAGATGACCTAAAATTTATTACTAAATTATAAATAATTTTAGTCGTACACGTAAATTATAAATAATTTTAGTCGTACACATAAATTATAAATAATTTTAGCTGTACACTTAATCTATAAATAATTTTAGTCGTACACATAAATTATAAATAATTTTAGTCGTACACATTAAATAATATCTTTCTGTTAATAAATAATTCAAATAAAATTATATTTCTATATTTTTGCATGTTACTGTAAATTAATGTATTTGTGTTTTTTAATCTATTTTTAGCATACATAAGTACAAAGACACCACAATCAGATCCATTAGATTGTGTACGAATATCTTCAATAAACTTTTTATTAACAATTAAATCTTTATTAAATAATCTTTTATATTCAAAAATTAGAAAATCTGAAATATTGTCCATAACCGATTGACAGTATCCAAGTAAAGAATCTCTATATTCTAATTGTTTTTTTAGAACATCATAGCACACAAAAATCCAATGATTGTGTAAATGTACAGGAAAATAAATTAAATTGTGTGTAAATATATTTATATTTGAAGTATATTTTTTGACTTTTTCAATCCCGCCTCTTCTTAAACTTGTGTAGAAATACGAACTAAACACATAAAGCTTTTTGTCATAGTCATTAAGATATTCCATATAACAATTAACAACTTTGTCATTTAACCAATAGGGTCCTGTTAGAATAGAAATATCTTCTTTTTCGAATTCGTATCCTTTCAATTCAATAGGAAAATCTATCTGAGGAAGTTGATCTTTTAAACGCCTAACAATACTTTTATAAAATAAATAACGCCGCTCTTTTATTTTAAATGAATCATCTTGTGTAGGATTTTCATTATGTGTGCTTTCTTTATTCGTCTGAACGCGATTTAACTTGATTTTAAATTTGCGAGAAACACTGTCAGCAAACTTTTCGATAAAATTTGTAGATTCATCTTGCACTACATTTGTAAATTTATCATTTTCGCTGCTACAAACATTTGAAAAATCTTCCAATGAACACGTAACTGCATTTAAAATGGTACTTTGGTCGTTTGAAAGATATTCTAACGTCGTATTGGTGTCATTATCAGATAAAACATTATTTTCATCTTCACATGGCATTTTATGCTCCAAAATTGTGTCATTCACATTTTCACTAAATGAAAAGTTTTTATTTACAAATGTTTTAACAAATTCGCTAGAACCTGATAAGTCTACAAATTCTTTAGGGTTTAAAACACTTTTAAAGTCATTTGATGGTGTAAAAATGCTAGAAGAATCCAAATCAAAGAATTGTGACTTAGCAGTTTGAATAGCAGAATAACCATCCTCTTCGTGTTTAATACTATTTTTTACAATGTAAACATTATATTTCTTTGTAGATTTTATTTTATCATTTTTTTCTTCCGAAGTTTCATTCATCCTTTTCTCAATGCGTAATAAATTTTGAAAATTTTAAAAATAAAAATAGTCAATAAATTTTTAAAAAATAAAAATAGTCAATAATTTTTAAAAAATAAAAATAGTCAATAAATTTATTAAAAATAAAAACAATCAATAAATTTATTAAAAATAAATATTTAATTAGACATCAAAATTAGGATGTATAAAATAAATACCATCACTTATAAATAAAACACCTTCATGCAATACAAGATAATCAATCACTTTTTCTACTAAACTTTTTTCAGCGTAAAATTCTGTCTCTGTTTCTAAATTATCTTCTATTTGTTCAATATAACAACTTACTAGACCATCTTTGTTCATCCCCTCTCTTGTTTTAATCAAATAAATAATTTGATTTGTAATTCTAAATAAATCGTTACTATTAATTTTTACTTGCTCAGCTTCATTGGCCTGTACACCGATGTCAATATCTTCTCCTTTAAGTTCTATAACACTACTTGAAATCAATCTGTAAGCTTCTTCAACATAAATTTCTCTAACTTCTGTATCGCAATGAAGTTTGGCTAAAGCTTCGCTTAACCTTATCATGCTTTCTAGATGTCTAACTGTCATTTTGTAATTACTGTTATTAATTAAACTTTCTTGGCGAATTTTAATATATTTTTCAACTAGTTTTTTGTGAACAAGATCATTCAGAATAGGTTTTTGTGTCCTAGCATATTTAATATATAACTTAACTTGTTCTAATGAAAAATAACCGTCGTGTAAATTAATATCGGCAGACAAAAGATGATTATTCAGAATGTGCATGCTAACATTTTTATCATTTTCAGAATCAACGTCATCAATTAAAACAAAATAAAGATCAAATCTACTCATAATAGGCTGGCTTAGATTAATATTCTGTTTCAATGTCTTTCTCTTATCATATCTACCTTTAATGGGGTTTGCAGCAGCCAAAATACTTGTTCGGGCATTAAGAGTCGCATTTATGCCTGCCTTTGCAATTGTAATGGTCTGTTGTTCCATAGCTTCATGAATACTTACTTGATCTTTATAATTCATTTTATCAAACTCATCTATACAACAAATACCGTTATCACTGAGCATTAATGCACCCGCCTCAATTGACATCTCTCCTGTTTCTCCATCTTTAATGACACATGCTGTTAAACCGGCCGCACTACTACTTTTACCAGATGTATAAACACTCCTGGGTAAAATACCCGATGCCTGTTTAAGAAATTGCGATTTGGCAGTTCCAGGATCTCCAACAAGTAAAATATTAATATCTCCTCTTAATTTAACTCCACTCTCCGTTTTTTTAGTAACACCTCCTATTAAAAGCAAAAGAATCCCATTTTTTATAGAATAATGACCATGTATTGACGGAAATAGACTCTGAGACATTTTATAATATAAATTTTTAGTACTTCTCATCTCTTCAATAATCTTAAGTTCTTCCGATGTAAAATTGCTACTAAATTCTTCTGTTTTATAATTTACGTGTGTGCACATAAAGCTTAATTTGTAATTTAGATCTTTTATATTGATATTACGTTTAGATTTTAGATTATCAGCTACACCTTCTTGCACGGGAACACTTTTGGATTGTGGTAACATTAATTGGATAACATCAGGTACAACTATAAGATATCCAGTAAATGTCAGTTTTTCACCCGCTTTGATTTTCTCAACCAAATCGTTACGCACGATTACATCAATATTTCTTGGTAAAGATCCTGGTGGTATTTCATCAGTATTTTCTTGTACATGGATGCGCTGCCAATTAGCAAATTCGCTCTCATCAAGATCAAGTTTCCAAAGTTTTCGATTTGTACAGAGATGGTTTGGACAAACGAGTGGTTCAGTGTATTTAAATTCTTGTTCTACACCCGGTACAACAGAATTACATTCTTTGCAGATAAATGTACCAGACACCAATTCTGGTCGCACTTGTGTCGTGCGTGTAGCTGTCCCGCTAAACGAAACAAGTTGCCCTAATTTTTCTGACTTTAAATCCCGTATTTTATAGACAAAATCCAAATTGTAAAAACTAACGTTATTAATTTTCTTATTAAACGTTTTTAAAGAAAAGTTTTCTACTGCTTTATTAAGATGAGGAATAATTTCTCCGTATCGTTGCATTATTTTCATATATAATTTTTCGCTAAAATCGTGCACATCTTGTGTATCAATTAGTAGTGTTTGCTGATTTTTTTGTATAACATCATCTAAAAGAAGTCTATTCTTAGGAATAGCTTCTAAAAAATCCAAGAATAAATTTTCTACTTCTACAGACATAGAAGGGAAAAAATTAAAAAAAATGAAAGTAGTTTAAAAAATTATCTGTCAAAATAACTATTACTTCTTTATATTTTATTGATCAAAACTGATGCAGAATGAAAACAAAAATAATTGTAAAAACATAAAAACTTAAATACTCTTTTTATTTAAAAAAGGTAGAACATTATGTTGATTTTTACATAACAAGTACAAATAAATATAAATAACAGTATAAAGTAATAAAGCGGGTGTTCTAACAATAAATTTTGTAGGCACAAATGGTATAGAAATAAAGTGACCGATAACTGCTAATATAAAACAAAGTGTAACTAATTGTAATCCAAATATTCCAATAAACATTCTCATATTTTTAATACATTCGGGTGGACATATTTTACTGTAATCTTTCTTGATTAACGACTTCACAATAGGATAAAAAAATAATTTTCTATCCCTAAAAATGAAAATGAATTTTAGTTACATCACTCCTGTTCCTCAGAACACTGCTCTTATTGATATAGCACTTAGTAAGACACAAAGAAGATCTCCTACCGTAGTTCACCCACAGTATTCAATTGTAAGAATAAGAAAATTTTATATGCATAAAGTGAAAAAAGCAGGAGAAGAATTTAAAATGCGACTGGAAACAATAACTTCAGAATTTCCACGCCTTGAAGATATACATCCTTTTTACGCAGATTTAATAAATGTGTTATATGATAGAGATCATTATAAGCTTGCACTTGGACATGTCAGTTCTACTAAAAAAGTTATAGAAGGAATTGTTAAAGAATTTGTTAAGCTTTTGAAATACGGAGATACACTTTATAGATGTAAACAACTTAAAAGAGCAGCTTTAGGTAGAATGGCAAGTTCTTGTAAAAAGTTAGATAAAACACTTAAATATTTAGAAGAAGTTAGAATGCACTTAGGAAGGCTTCCTTCTATTGATCCAAATTCAAGATCTTTACTTATCTGTGGATTTCCAAATGTAGGAAAAAGTTCTTTTATTAATAAAATTAGTAGAGCAGAGGTAGAAGTTCAACCCTACGCTTTTACAACTAAAAGTCTTTATGTAGGACATTTTGATTATAATTATCTTAATTGGCAAGTCATTGATACACCTGGAATATTAGATCATGAATTAGAAGACAGAAATACAATTGAAATGTTATCTATCACTGCGCTGGCCCACATTAAGGCTGTGGTTCTATATTTCTTTGATTTAAGTGGGAATTGTGGGCACACCATAGAAGGGCAAATTTCTTTGTTCAAAACATTAAGTCCTTTATTGGATTCTAAAATAGTTATTGTGCTTAGTAAATGTGATTTACAAAAACTAGAGGAAGTGGATGATATGAAGGATAGAGAACTATTGAATATTTTTTTAGAAGACAGAGTTTATATTGAAATTAGTACTAAAGATGAATACAATGTAGAAAAAGCAAAAAAATTGGCATGTGATATTTTATTAGAAGAACGAGTTGGTAGAAAAATAGAAAATGAGAGGATAAAAGAATATATTAATAGAATTACAATGTTAAAATCTAAATATAAAAAAGAAAAAGAACCATCTTTTGACATCAAAAGAACAATAGAAGAAATCGGAAATGAACAGGAGAGATATTTTGTAAAAGATGAATATAAGTATGATATTATACCAGAAATTATGAATGGCAAAAATTTTTGTGATTTTATCGATGAAGATATTGTAAGGAAATTAAATGAAATTGAAGATGAAGAAGATAAAATGTTTGCGGTGTATTCTAAGAATTATGACATACTTACAAAAGATCAAAGAGAAGATATGAAAAAAATTTATGATAAAATAGAAGAGAAAAAAATTGAGAGAGAACTAAGAAAGACTAACAAAGTTCCTAAACAAAAGAAAATTAATAGAAGAGAGACACAGATTGTTAAAGTAAATCGTAGGGATAGGATTCCTGTACATTTAGCGAATGATAAAAAGCCAGATAGATCTAAGGAAAAATCTAGATTTGATACTAAAGGGCATTACGAAAGAAAACCTAAACATTTTTACAGATTTAAAGGTAAAAATAATAGAAGATAATAAAGTATTAAAATTTTTTATAATGTTAATGGTATGTTTAATTTTATTGCTTGAACTTAGTTTTTAGACCCAAAAATTCTCTAAGTGCATTACACTTTATATAAATTACTAATTTAAATATTTGTAAAAGTACTAACAATAGATATATTGTGGTAGAATAGTTTATTTAATTAAAAACATTTTCATTATAAAATTATATTTATCTTAATATAGTTAGTCCTATAATTAAAAGTCTCTACCAATAAAAAAAAATTTTCTTTTGTACGGCGTTTATTAATTGTTTGCTCAAAAAATGTAAAATATTAATATTAAATTTTCACTTAAATGTAATAGCATATTATTGTTCTACTTTAAGATACATTTCTTTTGTTTTAGATTCCATTATTTTAATATTTCGTATGTGAGAATCTTTTCCTTCTTGATGATTCGACAAAATAATAATTTGTAAAAAGAAACATTTCTTATTTACATTAAAAACAATGTATCCTTCTGGTTCTAACAAAGATGTTAAAATTATGGAATCAATTGTACTTTCTGTAAGTCCGCATAAGACTTCTATCTCTCTAGGAGTGTAACTGTCGTCTTGTGAATGACTGAGAAAAATCCTAACCTCTTCAACATAAGTAAGCTTACAAAATGTAAATTGTATGCCATGTGGAAGCGAATCATCAGTAGCCCAGTATTCACTAAGATCACTAGATAAAAGTTCCTTTACTCCATGATCTCTCTTAGACGAACTTAGTCTTATATTCATGCAGGGTAAACATTTTATATATAAAAAATATTTTTTTGTTTTTTTACAAACAAAGTCATCAATTTGTATGTTTAAATATATATAATAAGTTATATATTACAGCATAAAGCTCATAAACTTTATAAAATTCGTAAATTTACTCTGAATTATACAAATAAATGTATGATGTTCTTTATTTGCGAAAAAAGCATTAATATTGTTTAAATAATATATTTTTTTCTATTTTTACATCTTTAAACACAAAAGCATAATTTTTATAATTTTGTATAAAAATAAAAAATTAATACCCTCCCAATTTAAAAGCTACAGAAAATATTTTGTAATAGTTTTCTGCCATTTTAAAAAATAATAATATTAAAACCAGAAGCAGCCTTTGTATTTACTAAGCTTGTGACTGTTTTAATTACATTTTCTTCTAATGTTTTTATAAATGCTAGTATATTCTTGTAAAAATATAACTATTAGGTGTAATCTTAATATAAAGATTGTTAAATTGAAATTACTTGTTGTTGAAATAGTAATGTTATTATTTGTTGTTTATTATTGTCATAGCTCTAGCTATGAAAAAGAAATTTTTTTAAAATTTATTTTTTTGTTTAAAACCCACAATCGTAAAAAATTTAAAATTATTTAAATAAAGCTTTTTTGATAAAGGTAAAGGGAAAGTGCGGAATTATGGTGATTGTAAAAATGTGAGCAAATACAACCTTAAATCAGGATTTGGGCGAAAGGTATTTAATAAATTAAATTATAATAGTATTTAAAGTATGTTAGAAAAATTCTTTAAGGATGGGGCATATCCTCATGTGCATGCCAATTATATCTTAATTTATTGTAAGAACCAATAATTTTTAGCAAAAACAGTGAGTGCTTTAAACTTTTTAACAGTATAAAAATTTGCTTTAAAGAATTAATATACATGTTAAAAACATTTAAATTTGCATATGCCTGATAATATTTGTGTAAAGTAAATTTAAAAAATTCTAAAAGTGATACATTTTAGTAACTATTTTTTTTATTCAATTTTTGTGATTCAATATTTTTTGATTTTTAATCAATTTATATTTTTATTATCACTGTGAAACAAGAATGTTTTATTAAGTGGTGTTAATTGTTACTTCCGACAGTATTGATTTTACAATTGCTAATTACTAAATGATCATGTCATGTTAATAGTACATGCCCTCGTAGATAGAGTTTAAATTTCCAGTTTAAACATGATAACGTAAGTAGCGATTAAATATAAAGTTAAAATATTTGTGAATATTAAAGCATTAAGCTAGTAATTCCAAAACGTTACAAAAATTTTTCCATCTTAAATTTTTTTAATAGAAACATGAATAAATTTGAAGCATCTAAGATACTAGAAATGAAAAAAGAGGAAATTTTGACAGAAAATACAAAATTTTTATAAAAATAAATAAATCCAGATAAAAAAAGCTTCTCTTATCTCGCCAGTAAAATAAACGAAGCATATTAAATGTTGAAGGATATATACTTTTATTGCTTTTCTTAATTTATTAATATTTTTGTCAAAGAAGACTTAATTATTTAAAAATGTTACATAAGGCACATGTAACACTGAAAAAAGTGTTTTATACAATTTTTTGTAATTGTTTATTTAAACAAAATTAGTATTTAAAAATAAAACGCTGATTTATTTTCTGTTCTATTATAGTTTTTAGTAACTTTTTGTTTGTGTCTAGAACATGGCAATAATTAAAAAATTTAAGCGTTTTCAATTAATATGTATTTAATAAAGCAAAAAAATCACGATCTCCTTTTATTAAATTATTTATGATTTTTAAGATTGTAATGTAATATAAAATATGTGTGTATTCATATTTTTTAGACTCTATTAGGTTTATAATACAAATTAAAACATGTAGAAATGTGTATTCTACTAGATTTGGTACATCAAAGCTTTGAATATTTAACGCCCCACATGTGATCAAACCATAAATAGAAGTTTATCATTTAAATTTGTGCTTTATTTTTTAAAAAGATGTTGTTTTTTATATTTTAAAATAGATCAGTTGTTTGTTTAATTTATCAATTAGAAATCTAGTTGTAGATTAATATCTAAAAAGAATTTTTTAAGATTAATGTAACAAAAAAAGGCAGAAATAGAACTTGATGTACAAAAGGTAAGGTGGTCAAAAATTTAATTTTTTGTCCTTAAAATGTTATTTCAAGAGGTAAAAATGATGAGTAAAAAAAAAATTCTTTTTATACTCGTCTAATAGATGTAAAAATTAACTAGAATTATATAAAAATATAAAAAATATCAGAATACGTTCATTTTCGATGTCCGAAATTACAGGAAATGTTATTGCGCAACTGAGGTGTACTTTTAATAAATGTAAACATAATTTTTCCGTGCGGAATAATACAATTTTTTTAATAATAAAGTATCCTATCTAAAAGTAATTAAAAATTAATTTATGGTCGTTTAAATCTTTAATTGGGCTTATCAAAAAACATTTTGGGCATTTAAATTGGTAAATTAAAAAATGTAACAAAACCTTAAGGAATTTTGATGTTTATTGCAGATATACGAAGTCGCTTAGTTTAATAAGAGGAGGGAATATTGCAGTAGAAATTAATAAAACAAAAACAGGTAAAATAAATACTATAGAGGATATTTGATTAAAGGATTTGGGGTAGGTATGATATAGCAGATCGAGGAAAGAAGAATAATAATTATTCAGGTTGATAAAAGAGATAATTTAACATTAGAGCATTTTTTAGTTACTTATATAGACTCTAGATCAATTATTTAATTCCGACAAGTACAGAGCTTGCAATAATTTACATCTATTGTTCCAATCTCATTTTACGGTTATTCATTATCTTCATTTTAAAAATCAATCACGGGAATTCATATCTATTCTATAAAAGATAATTGGAGATCATTTAAAGAATCAATTCCACTCAGATGCAGAACAGAGAGACTTTGTAGTTTATATTTATGTAATTTATATTTATTAAGGTATATGTGCACTAAAAACGAAAGTGGAAATACTACTTAAAAATACTGTTTTTAACTATCTTAAAAATTTTTTTATTTTTTATTTACTTGATTCTTTACTGTTCTTGTAACAAAATTTTAAAAATTAAGGATAAAAAATAAAATTTTTAACTACCCTACTTTTTGTACACCAGGTTCTACCTTAGCCAAAAAATTGTAATTGTTTAATTTATTATATGTGTAGGAATGGCTTCAACACATGTCAAAGATATCTTCCTGTATGATGAGATATCTAACATGTTGTTAGTTAAATAATTTATAATAAATAAACCCATGTTTAATACCAACAATATAATAATCTATTTGTAAATTAATATCTTGAAAAGAAATTTCTCAAGCTTTAATGCAAAAAAAAGTAAAAATTATTGATTAATTAAAATTATTTGAAAAGTATCCATCAAAAAAATTATCTATAATATTTACTTTTAATGATGCAAAATAACATTTTATAATCTTTATTGCAATTTTATAATTTTCATAATTATTTATTAATTTTTAAAAAGTCTATATTTACTATTTTAGGAAATTCTTAAAAAATATATATTTACTATTTTTAAAAAGAAACTTTATTTATATGATCAATATTCAAATTTATTTATCAGATACGAATCTTCAATAAAAATTCATTTTATTTATAATTTTTTTTAGACCCTTTGTAGTTTAATGAAACTTGAATTGTTAGTATTATTTTTTGCTTATTTAAAATCTAGTTTAGACATTTATGAGGAATTAAAAGAAGCTGTTGAACAGAAAATACAGACTAAAGACCATTTTTTATTTAATTTGGAAAAAAAACATCACGCCTTTGAAGCCTATGTTCATGATAAAAAAATTGTTTTTAAAACATGGATAAAACCAACATTTAAATATAAGCTTAAAGATCAATTAAAATCTGATAGCGTTAGGTATAATACAGCAAATGAAGCAATTCGAAAGATTTGTGACTATTATCTTTTAAGCGATTGTAGTGAATTACAGGGATTTGAAGTTTTTTGTAAGTTAAAATTTATGGGATCTAGGAAAGATATTGAGTTAAATCTTAAGAATTTTTTTTATTATGGGATTGAACCAGATTTTTTTTCAATGATTTATAATAGTAACGGACAAAAACAAATAAGAGAGCTTTGTTCATGTTTTTCTCAAGACAACATGATAGATTTTGACTTTTGCTTTTCACTAACAAAATATTCTTTAAAAAATTCTATTCAATGTTTTGAAGAAGAAAACGAGATGAAAATTTTTTTTCCTGTAAAATTAAGAAATTTAATGTTCTTTTTTAAAATTGACGTCAGCAATTTATATTTTGTAGAAAAAAAATATACAGATGAATTAATAAAATTACACAGCAGTATCGGTAAGGATAATGATAGTACAAATGTATGCATTTTAATGAGCAAAATTTTTACATTTTCTGATTTTGTGTTACATTTAAATCTATTAAAAGATATAAACGATACTGAGAAAAAGCTATCTAGTCAATTTTTGATTAAGAATTGTGAGAAGAATTTTTTTAACATTGCATTTCCAAAAAAGTAGTATTTTTTGAAAACTTTGATACATCATTTTATTATTGCTGTGATAATCTCTTAAAACCCAGGATTAATTATCAGTGTATTTTTGAAGAAACATATCGAGATTGCACCGAGATTTGGGATTTATATACGAAGGCAAAAGATTTTGACTTTG